CCCTGCCATCCTGCAGGCTGGACGCCTTCTTCGAGCTGGGCTTGGGCGGGCCGTGGGACATGGCCGCTGGCGCCGTCATCCTGGAGGAAGCTGGGGGGAAGGTGCTGGACCCGGCAGGTGAGGGACATTCAGGGGTCATGGGGCAACATCCAGGAGTGCTGCAAGGGCATGGCTCCTTCCTCTGTTCCCTGCATGCAGTGATTTGCGGCCTGGGGCATCCTGCGTTTGCCAGCCACCGGGTGAGCAGGCGTGTCATGCCGGGTCCTGCGTCGACCGCCCTGACCGCGGCATCCCCGCAGGCGGCCCCTTCAACGTCATGAGCCGGCGCGTGCTGGGTACCAATGGGCACCTAGCAGCGCAGGTGAGCTCCATCCTCGCGGCGTGCCCTCTTGCCGAGGGCGAGCCGCGACCACTGGACTGAGACTGCGGGGGAGGATTAGCCTCCTGGGAAGGCTGGAAGCGTGGTTGGTGCGAGTGGGACCGTGCCCGAGCGACATCTTTGACCCGAGCGATCTGGAAAGCAAGGGAGAGGCCCTCTCTTCCGGAAGTCCAGAGTCCCAGCTAAATTCGCCCTTCCCATCACTGCGCCTGCCTGCATCTTCTGCGCAAGCAATAACTTTTGAACAACATTATTTTCAAGTTCCAATCCAAAGGATACCGGCTCTGACTGCCTCAACTACACCACTCTGTGTCGGGCCCTTCCACGTAAATCCATCATACTCCGACCTGCCGGCCCTCCCGCGGGCCCATACCTGCGCGAATGCAGCTCGACTGAATCATCATGACCACTTTGGTTCTGGCACACGAGGCTGGAGGTCCTTCCCGACACCTTCCCGTGACGGGGAGGCCCTGGTTGAATCTGTATGGTGTGAGGCTCCGGGCACCAGAGACCCACCACGTCGCGCTGCAGGCAAGCCATGGCATGCGCGGCATGCCGTCTCAGGAATGGTTTCGAACATCTTGAAGGGCCCAACACCTGCCCATGCGCCTTCCGCCTCATCTGCCCCACTGCATCCCTGACCCCCCCTCCCCCCCCCACCCCCTCGGTGACAGGGTGATGCAGCCCTCATCCAGCGCCTCCTGCCCGACGAACTCCTGCTGGCAATCCTCTCCAAGCTCCCCGCCTCTGGCCTGGGGGTGGCCAGCTGCGTCTGCAGGCAGTGGCACCGCGTTGCCCGCGACCCCAGCCTCTGGCAGGCGCTGTGCCAGGAGGCCTTCGGCCGCACGCTGGACCGGTCCGCGCTGCTGACGCAGGTGCGCGACCCGCACGGCGGCAGCTGGCGGGCCATGTACCTGGACCGGCCTCGCCTGCGGTACGACGGCGTGTACTGCTCGCGCAACACCTACATCAAGCAGGGCATCCGGGAGTGGGCGGTGCAGAACGCGGTGCACATGGTGTGCTACTTCAGGTATTACCGCTTCTGCGCCGACGGTGAGTTGGCCAGGGGGAGGGGGAGGAGCTGAGGCTGGGCCGGGAGGGGTGGTGGCGTGGTCAGGGGGGGGTCATTGCGCAGTGTATGCCAGCGACGGGGCCGAGCAGTATGACGAGGTTTGTGGCCGGACAGTACGTGGGGAGCGACCCTTTACAGACAATGCAGCTGCAGTTGCAGACTGCCTCATGGGCAGGGCAAGTCCTATCACACACTTGCACCCCTGCGCGACACCTTGCACCCCCAACCTCTTCCACCCCTTCGCCAAGGACTGCCCCCCCCACACACCTCCCCTCCCCTCCTCGGCAGGCACGTTTGTGTACCGCACCAGCCCGGAGCCGCTGACCAGGGTGCTGCGCTCGCTGACCCACCCCGACCAGCGCGCCAAGGCTGGCGCCGCGCCAGTTGTGTACGTGGGGCGCTACGCGCAGCGGGGCAGTACGGTGCACACCAGCCTGCGGTACAACGACAGTCGGGCCACTGAGCTGCGCGCGCGGCTCACCCTGCGGTCGACGGTGCGGGGGGCCAACAATCGCCTGGCTGTGGACTCCTTCTTTAGCTGGGACGGGGTGGAGGGCAGCTCCCACTCCTTGTTGGAGGAGGGCGAGGCCGGGGAGGGGGCTGGCGAGGGGCGGCGGCCGTTCCAGAGGGGGCTCAACCCTTTTGTGTTTGTGTCGTACCAGCAGGCGCACAAGAGCCCCCTGAACCTCCCAGTCACCCAGATGGACTACTTCATCCCGGGGTAGTGCTGGAGCTCGATGACCACAGTAGGGCAGCACATGCCCCCTCTCCCACACAGCGTTTTCTGGGAAGGAGCAGACCGCACATAGTCAGATGCATCCTGTACTCCTTGCTTGTATTATAGGCCTGCTTGTTAAATTTCCCCCCTGTAGGCTTCGATCTTGTAATATCGTCTCACCTCGAGAGCAATTTGTTGTGCAAGTCCCTCCTGTGTGTTCTCGCGCCCTGAGCAATGCAGGACCGCACAACGACATGAGATGAGGCTGGGGCTATATGTTTGAAGAGCATGCCGTCGAATCGTCAGACCACACTTTCTGTACACTTCGCTGAACAAACAGGGCTACTCCAGCCTCGAAGCCTGAGGCATGCGAGGCAGCAGAAAACCCACGGAATGAGGAGGTGGGCCTTTTCCGCCATCGTTCTACTGGCGCTGCTGAGTCTCGCAGGTTGCGATGGGGGACGTGCAGACTCCTTTATAGGTGAGAAATGACTGGAGGAAATCGTTGAGCCCCCACCTCGATGTGTCGAGCCGGTGCTGCTGCCCCTGCACCACCCCAGACTGACCATGACCTCCCGATGCGCGCACCACGGGCACAGGGTACGCTGAGGTTGCGGCAGATGCAACTGAACCCTGCAGCGACGAGCTGGAGCTCGAGATCTGCAGCATGTACAAGGAGTCTGGAGATTGCAGCAAAGGTGCGCATTGGATGAGGGCGTGGCATGCAATAATTGCATGCGCACCCCTCTCAGCCGCTTGAAGTGAATCAGCAAGTTCACCTCCACTGCACAGGGTACATCAAGAACGCATGCCTTCAAACGTGTGGGGCGTGCCCTCCACCAAGGACTTGATGCAGGCCAATCGGTATCAATGTGGAAGCAGGGACCCAACAGTCTCCGTGTTATGTCCACACACTGAATTTCCGTCCATTACGCACTAGGTGATTTCCTGCAGCAAGGACGGCATCTGGGTCAATTAGAGCATGTCCTCCCTCAAACCCACTGGCACCCCCGTCCCCAGTGAGATTTGCGCGCGCACCCGCATGCGACTACTCGATCTCGTGAATCCCATAAACCTCCTGGCATGCACCCCGAATGTGACCGTTATCGTGCATTTCATTCAAGCAAATGTAGCTGCTCTGTAGCAGAGCGGTCGAGCAAATTGCCGTAAGGGTCCCTCCGCGAGGTACAGCGGGCCCGTCTCCATGGTAAGATGCGGCTAAGGCAGCATGTACGTGCCGTCTCCAATTGCCAGTCATTTGGTAGAAGAGGCCATTACCCAGCATGCATATTACTCAAATGTGCAGGCCGGGCGCGGGATGCTGCTGCGATCCTGTCGCCTGTGCGTCGCCAGGGTGCTAGGCATTGCGCCCCGGTCTCAGACCCCCGTGGTGGGGAGCAGACTCGCAGCCTGGAGCTTGGTACAAGCCAGGCCCCTTGTCCGAGTGCCTCAGCTTGTTCCTGGACCCTGCAGTCTCAGGAGCGTCACACAGAGGGCGGTCCATGAGGCAGCGAGTGCGCCCAGCGAAGCCCGCCCTGGCAACCCTACCCCACCAGCCTCCTCCCACTGCATCCTGAACTTCTACCACCTCGTGGACATCCCCAGACCGCACGAGGTGCTGGAGCAGCACCGGGCCTTCCTGGAGGGCAGGGAGGTGCGGGGCCGCATTTACATCTCCCACCAGGGCATCAACGCCCAGTGTGGCGGCGTCACAGCGGATGCCGTGGCATACGTCCAGTGGCTGGCACAGGAGCAGTCCCTCTTTGAGGTGTGTGAGGGCCTCGTGTGCAGCCGCTTCCTGTGGGTGTAGAAGATCTCGGTCGGCGAGGCACCGTTGGGGGAGAATCCAGGGGGGATGCGGCGAACGGTGGCCCACCCAACCGGCCCAGAGACCAAGATAGAGTTCGACACCCCTCTTTCCCTTCATCATCTGCTCTTCCCCATGCACCGTTGAAGGGCCTGCGGTACAAGCTGTACCCCGCAGACGACCATGCCTTCCCCCGGCTCAGGCTGAAGTTCCGCCCCAACCTCATCAGCTTGGCGGGGGGGATGACGGCGGCGCCGGTGACCGATGCCCAGGCGCGCGCCACACCCTTGGACCCCCTGGCCTGGAAGGAGATGCTGGCGCAGGTGGGCTTGCCGGCCCTGGGGTGTGGGTGTGGGGGGGGTGTCTGCGCAACCCATGGGCGATGAGGGCACCCCTGCTCGGACCCTGCGGCGGGCCTGAGTAAGCACCTTACATGGGAGCAGTGGAACCATCCCACCCTCCCTCCTTGCCGCTCCGTGCTAGGCACAGAGCCCATCCTCAGGGACCAAACCTGTTGTGCTGGACGTCAGGAACTCTTATGAATGGGACGCTGGGCACTTTGAGGGAGCGCAGCGGCCCTTGGAGGTGGGGGCGGGGGTGGTTCGGGGGAAGGCCTGAGAGCCTGGCTACTCTCCGGGGGCTGTCACGTTGCCAAGACCGCTGGGGGCCCGGTCAATCGAGCGGCCAGGCAACGCCCCGGACCCGACCTCGTCAGGCAGACCTGTGCCACCCAAGCACGCTTAACCCCCCACCCCCGCGCGCCCTTCCACAGGACGAGTTCCGGGAAACGCCCACCGCCGCCAGCCGCACACCGCTGCCCCACCACCTGGAGGGCGTGGACCCGGCCACCCCCATTATGATGTACTGCACCGGCGGCATACGCTGCGACGTCTACTCCACTCACCTGCGGGCCCAGGGGTGAGGGGCTGCGGGGGGCAAGCCATGGAGGGGAAGCGGTGCAATGACCAGGGGCTGAGTTTGCCGTTTATGCCCAGCGAATTCTGAGACAACAATGTTGGCTGCCTGAAGCCACGGCTCCACCCACTCGACTTTCCACCTTGAGTGGCCCCGCCTGTTCCTCAGAAGCATTGACCACCCGCATGCATCCTCTCCCGCAGGTACAGCAATCTGTACTCTCTCGACGGCGGCATCCAGTCCTACCTGGATGCCGGTGTGGGCGAGCACTGGAAGGGGTCTCTCTATGTGTTTGACTCCAGGATGGCAGTGCCTGCCCCAAGCCCCGCAGCGACGGGGGAGGAAGGGGAGGCGGGACTCATCGCCGCGGCGCCGTGCCAGGTGTGCGGGGGCGCGGCCGTGCTCCCGCACATGAACTGCGCGAACATCGACTGCAACAAGCTCTTCATCGCCTGCCCCGCCTGCAAGGTGACTGTGTGTGTGTGTGTGTTTGGGGCGGTGTGGGAACGTCGTGTGGCAAGGTCTCAAAGGGGAGGACAGTCGGTGGCTCGGCGCAGAGAGGGCACCAGCCTCCTGCGAGGGATCCGTGAGATGTAAGGGAACAGAAGTATAAAATCACCCCCAACCTGAAGAGTGCCTGCACGCATTGTGAACACCCGCCCCCCCTCCGAACCTTACACGAGACCTCCCCCTCCTCCACCCCCTGCCACAGACGCATCTCAAGGGCTGCTGCAGCGAGCCATGCATGACAGCTCCGCGCCTGCTGCGCCCCATCAAGGACGCGGGCGTGTACGGCAGCTGGACGGCCTACGCTGGGGAGGATGGCGTGGCCGCCGCCGCCATTCGCTCCGGCAGGGGCTCTCGCCGCGCGCAGCGGAGGGCGGTGCGCCTGGCCGAGGAGCGCAGCCGCCAGCGTGCGAAGCGGGAGGAGAAGATGGAGCGCCGGCGCCTGGTGGAGCAGGTGATGGCGGCCTGCGCCGCAAAGGCCCCCGCCGAGGCGGAGGATCCGGCCTGGCGCCGGCTGCGGGAAGCCCGGCTGAAGCTGATGGCGCAGCGGCAGGACAAGCTGCGTGGGCCGGCGCACGCCGCCGCAAAGGAGGCGCGAGGAAGCTGAAGTGCGGAGTGCGCTTGCATGTGCTGTGCACAGGGTCGCTGCCCAGCTGAGGAGCCGCGGTCGGTGATCCGTTGTTACTGACCCCTGTGGAGCAGCGTCCTTTTGAACACACCTGGGGTGTCACGGGAAAGTGACGATTCCGAGGGGAGGATAATTCGATCCGGCCCGACATCGCCTGCCCAGCTCGAACCTATTGATTCTTCAGAAGACTATTTTGCGTGTCTTCAATTCTTCATACGCCTCCTGGCCGGGCCACCTGCCCTGACCACCAGACCTGGCGTTCACACTAGGTGCCACGCCCATCTAGCACACCCCTCCAGGGCCCTGTGCGTCCCCGCTGCGCACTTGATTCACTACCAGAATATCTGAATCTCATCCGACATGTCTCTCCGGGAGCGACGGTGTATAAAGCAGAGCTGGTGACCCCACCTCAGCACCTCGTCATGAAATACCTCGACATTCCAACCCTAACGAGGTGACCCAACAGGCGCCCCTGCCACTGCTCGGCATGCAATGCTCCAGCCAGATCACCTACAAGGACGCGGACCGCTGGCCCCTTGCAGAATCAATAGCTTCCTGGACAATGTGGACGTGGGTGACCTCATGGTCAGGGGCAACCTGGAGGCCTACTCATGTGCGCCAGGAGGCAGCGTGGGGTGGTTTTAAGGCTTGTTTGCTGGTGCTCCAGGGTGCAAGGGCGCCCTGCTGGGGCCTGGCTGCAGTGATGGGTGGCTCAGGAGGGTGGCACGCTGTATTTGATTCCCTCCTTTGCCATCAAATTACAGGTAAGCTTGCGGGGCTGGACAAGAAGCTGAGCAGGAGTCTGGAGGAAGAGGTCATGGAGTCTTCCTCCCCCTCTGAGCTGTCCAAGTCACCTGTGGGCCCGCTCGTGGACTCCAACAGGTGCACAGGGGCTGCCGTCAGGGTGGCCTAACATGCTGGTTCGAGGACTGATGGGACTGGGAGCAGTGCCCAGAGGCAGCACCCACACACCAGTGCTCTAGCGCCCTGGCATGCCGTTAGCCTCATCCGAAGCAGACCTGACTTGCGCTACACCCCCCTCTTCCCCCCCCCCCGCCGAGCAGCCGCAAGACCCTGATCTACCTCATCCTAACGCTGAACCACATCTACCCTGACTACGATTTCACCCTCCTGCGGGCCCAGCACTTTTGCAAGGAGGAGAGCCTGGTGGGGATCCAGGAGCTTGTCTCAGCCCGCCTCCTGGAGGCCGCCAAGGTGGGTTGGGGGTTCAAGGTCCTGTATTGGTACCTGAAAGCATGACGGTGAGCAGGCTGTGCTCTGAGAAGCGCCAGGAGGATTATCGCCCAAGACAAAGAGAACCAAGCCCCTTGCTGATGGAGTGGGGTGGATCATAAGCTTGTGAGATCCTCACCTGAGCTCCATTACCTAGCACTGACCCCAACATCCAGCACGATTTGCTTTCAACCCACATCGATAGGTCTGGGAGTCCACACCGGGGCTGGGCGAGGAGCCGCTGACGGATGCGGTGTGGGCGGGCATCGACGAAGTCATCTCCCTGGCGGAGTCCGATGTGTACAGGCAGGTCTTGGAGTGCGGATCTGGGTGGGGCGTTGCCAGGGTTTCCTTAGGGTTCAGCTTAGTAGAGCAGCAGTGGGCTCTGCACGCTGCTTGGCGCAATGCTCTGCCAATACTTTGCCGCCGCCTAGTATGTAACATTCCACGAGCACTGTCCAACCCATCCACTGCACCCTTACCCCACCTGCAGCTACCGGAGCGACCTGGAATCAGACCCATTTGGCGAAAAAGGCTCGGTCTGGTCCTTCAACTACTTTTTCTACAACAAGAAGGCGAAGCGCATTCTGTACTTCAGGTGGGTGGGAGGTGGAGAGGGTTGTTGGGGATGTGCCTCGCGGGTATAAACGCCATCTGTGGGATGGGGGAATAGCCAGGGCCTGCATGTTCCCGGCCAACTCCCTGCCTTCCATTCCCTTGCAGCTGCCGGGGGATGAGCAAGTCGGCCATCGAGCTGAGCCAGACCACCGACGGCGCCCGATACAACACGGACACGGAGGGGGAGCTGGAGGCCGATGCCGCCACCAGCATGGCCAACGACATGGACCTCTAGCCCTTTGACACTGAGCATGGGTTGTCCAGGCACCCCTTCCTTCCTACCCCAACCGCTTGGCTTGGGCTAGATGGAGCTCTGTTTGGCAGACACGAGCCCAGCAGGCCAAGCCTGCGAGGGGATCAACCCTGCTCTATTCTTGGCCATGCACGAAACTTCCACACCCCTCCCTTCCCTCCCCTCCTCCCGTTGTCTCCCATAGTGTGGCCTGCATGGTTGCAGCAGCCTTGTACATCGCCTGCCCCCTCGACATGCTCACTGCATCCGGCTTATTGTGGCAAACAGACTGACGACGTGAACAGGGTTGCAAGAGCGTGGGACTACTGGGGCCGCTGCAGGAGGTCGCTGCCGGAGACGATGCGGGCCGAGACGACCTTGTCCCCCTCGCCCAGAGAGTCGAGCACGCCCAGGCCCTTGGTGACGTAGCCCAGCACGCCAAACTGGCCCTCGTCAAAGGACAGCCCTGCCAGCCCCGCGGAGGAGCGATCAAACTGAGAGGATCATGAGGGAGGGTGATTGGGAAGGGTCGGGACGGTAGGAGCTGCGGTATTGCTGACTCCATTCCCTCGGGGGCGGCATTCCAACGAGCCAGCCAGGCCCCGCAAGACCAGAGGAGTGGGCGCTAGTTCATGAGCAGTCTGCCCCCCCCACCAGCCCACCCATCGCACCTTGTAGATGAAGAACTGACGCGAGGAGACCATGCCCGGGGTCTGCTCGGACTCGGCGGGCAACTGCGTCATGGCTATCGCGCCATACACACTCAGCGGCAGGACCTGGGTTGTTGTGTGATTGAGGGGTCTGAGCGGTGTTCGCAACTCGGAATGAGCCGCCGCGGGACAGGGCTGGACACGAGCCTTCCGTCCCGAGAGACGCAGCCCCTGCCTCCTCGCTCGCTGTCCTCGATCAAGCCCGGACCAGGCACGAGCCATTCGCCCAGCACCTTCGAAATCCCTCAGCTCCCATCCCAAAGCCCATGGCTCACCGGGAGCTCCCCCGCGGCGACGTCCAGGGGCGTGCGGTACACAGGCTCAAAGTCGCCGGCGGGGAGGATCTCCAGCGGCACGCCCGGGTCGTCCGGGGTCTGGGCCCCGACCACCACGGCGACGGGGGATGCGGCGAGTGGCTGCCCGTCCAGCGCGCCGTCGGCCACGGCGGCGGCCAGCGCGCCGGCGGAGAGCGGCGCGGAGAAGCCGTCCAGCGTCAGCTCCAGCACGTCGGGGTCCGGGTTCGGCGCGTCGGCGCCCCCGCCGCGCCGCTGCACCTCCAGGCGCACCACGGCGCGCCCCGTCAGCCGTGGCAGGCCCTCGTACTGGCCGGGGACGCGGAAGGCCAGGCCCGGGGCCTGCAGCAGCTCCAGGCGGCCCACGGCGGCCAGCGCGGCGGCGACGCGCTGGGAGGAGCGGTCGATGTCGTGCGCGTCCACCGCGGCAGCCAGCGTGGCCAGCCCCGCGCGCACCTCGCCCAGCGCGCGCCGCGCCTGGGGCCGGGCCGGGCCGGGCGTCCCCGCCAGCGCCCGCCCCTCGTCCGCTGCGAGCCCAGCCCCCGCCGCCACGTCCTCGGCCATGGAGGCCCAGGGTTTGCGCTGCGGGATGCGCAGCTTGAAGGCCACGCTCTCCAGCCCCTCCCGGATGGCGCGCGCATCCGGGTTGAAGGCGGGGACTGAGCGGCGCAGCGCCGCCTCCGCCGACCGCGGCACACGCGCGATGGGCGACACTAGGACCGCCTCGGCGGGGCCCGCGCCGTGCAGCGCAAGCGCCGCCAGGCCCGCCGCCGCCGCCGCGCGGAGCAGGGGGAACGGAGCCATGCGTGGAGGGGTGTGGGAGTCGATGCCTGCCTGGGCCGTGGTTGCGCGGGGGGCGGCGCCGCTTCGGGGCGTGGACCGCGTACTTCTATGCATGAAGCATATGTAGCGGCGAGGGGTGCAGCGCATGTCGGGGGGGTTGGAGAATGAGCTGCGTGGTGCAGGCGCTGGTTGCGCCGCCTGGGCGGCGCCTGCCAGGTGCAGGGCCATGCCTGGCCGGAGCCCGGGCCGCTCTGCCGCTCACTGACGGGAAGTGTGCACCGCAGGGTCCGGGCCGACGTCCTTGGAGCCCGTGTTGACGTAGGCTCCCCGGATCAGGGCGTCCCCACCCAGGGCCCGCTCGCTGGCTTGCAACTGCGCGGGGGAGCATGGGAGGGAGGGGGCCGTCACGATCGCTCACCGATTCATCGCGCATGCACGATTGTACATGCATGGAGGCCTGTTCATGGTGCCATGCTGGCCACGTCCGGTCCCACCGCACCTTGGAGCCCCGGGTCGCGACGTAGACGGGGTAGCTCGCCATTAATCCCATGAAAGCCACCAGGCCCGCTGCCACCCTGGCATTGCTCCCGGAGGTGGGCCGTCGCATCGTGGGCCCGAATCCAAACGCGATCCAGCCACTGAGTGGGCCAGATGCGACGGGGCTTATCATCGGGCGTGGGGCCCCCTTCCCCGATGACGGAGCTGACTAATCCATGCAGGATTTTTGGGTCCTTCACCTGTCCTGCATTACAGGAGCCCCTGGGACACCAATGCCATCTGCCCTATGCCTTGCTGTAGTCCCTTGCTCCAAAGATGGAGCTGCCCACCCGGACGTGGGTGGCACCCATGGCGATGGCGGCCTGATAGTCCCCCGACATGCCCATGCTCAGGGCCAGGTCCGCCTCCTGCAACCCCAGGTCCTGCGCCACGGCCCGCCGACACTCCACCAAGCACGTGAAGTTCTCCGGTCGTGACGAGTAGTCTGGGGGGCAGGGGCCAGTGTGAAGGTGGTCGGCTGAGACCAGCGGCAGGCAATGGCCAGGCATTTCGTAGGAAGCCACATCCCAGATGCAGAGGCAGGCCAGGGATGTGGGCGGCTGGCTACCGGCCGATTCATGTACCCCCCTCCCCTCCACCACCCTGCACACCTGCCATGCCGATGGTCATGAGGCCCACCAGCTTCAGGCCCGGGCATTGCTGGTGGATGTGCCGAGCCAAGCCAATGCACGATTCCCCGGGGCTCACCCCAAACTTGCTCACCTCCCCGCTGGTGTTCACCTGCACCATCACTCCAAGCGGCTCCCGCTCTGCACATGCATGGGGGGAGTGGATTGGCGATGCGGGTTCCCGATGAGCCAGAACAGGAGCGCGCAGCGCTGCAAGCTCCTTGTGCTTTGGCTGAGGATGCAACCGATGCTGACTCGTCACAGGCCATGGAATCGCAGCGTTGCCTGCGCATGCACCACTCCATGTGAGCCCCCCCACCCGACCCTCTTGAGACCAGCCCAGCGCCGTCGCACCTTCCTCCAGCACAAATGCGCTGAGCTTGTCTGCCAGCTTCTCGCCGTCCACCGACTCCACCACCTCCAGGTTGGGGACCGCTCCCAGCAAGCTGCGCACCTTGTTGCGCTGGAGATGCCCCACAAAGTGCCACCGGATGTCCTTTGGCAGGAGGGGGGCCTTGTCCACGATCTCCTGGAGTGTGAGAGAGGGGGGAGGCAAGAGAGGGTGTGAGGGGGGACAGGAGGTGTACATCAGTGAGCATGGACTGATTTGCTCTGATGTGGCAAGCTGCAAGCCTGAGAGAAGGCCAAAGGGTCCATAAGAGTCCTCCGGATACTCGGTATGATGATCTTCGCCCATGGATGGCCACCGGCACGTGACCAAGCGCTGCGCCAGGAGACACCCATCAGCCAAGGCCACCCATGTACCTGGACATAATTCTCTCCAAAAACGCGGTGCCCTGCATCATACGCCGCCTGGACAGCCTGGCTCGGCTTAGTCTTGCTCACCGCCACAAGGGTCACCTCCCGCGCACCCTGTGAGGCCACCTGGATCTTGTCTAGCACCTGCTCCAATGGGAGGACCGAACACACTAGCCCTTAATAGGGCCAGGAGAGTGGTCTGAGCCACCGCTGGCTTTTTGAGGATGAGCCTACGCCGAGTTCAAGCATGCCCATGCAGTCACACACAGCGGCCGAACGATGTGGGATGGGACAAGACTGATATGGCCCTTCACCCACAAGCCAGCATGAACATAACTGCTGAATACTTGCGCCGACATCATGCTCCATTCTTGCTGCGACCTTGCTGCTGAATGCTCGTCGGAGGACGGCGATCATGCGCGGTCGGGGGGTGCAGAGCACGCCTGGACACCTTGCGAACGATATGCTGGCCTGTCGCATAAGATGGGTGGCTTATGCAGGAGTGACAAAGCTACTGTTGGGCGTCAAATCGTGTATCCATGCATGTCTTTTCCCAAGGGACAGGCATGCTCGAATAAATGTGGTTGTGGGCCTGAGGGGTGGGAAGTCACGTGGGTGTGGCAGGGCTCGATGAGAGGACAGCACACAGATGCAAGGCGACGCCCATGCGATGTGGCACAACAGTCTCCGTGCAGCACACGTTTGAAAGCTCGATGCCATGTCCCCTTCCCACGAGTAGTGCGCTGCCGCATTGGAGACTCGTCGCCATGCACACGAGAACGCCGTCCCCAGGTCTCGCCCTGTCGCCCAAACCTCCATGGCACAGTTTACCTCGCACAAGCGGAATCTTGCATGGACACATTCTCTCCCTATGCTCATGGATGGTCGTCACATGCTGTGTAAGGCGGCTGCATGCTTACTCTTCCGGCAAGCTGAGATCAGTTTTGATACCACCACATGGAGGCCTGGACCTGCCTCCCTGATGGGATGCAGTAAGCACTTCCCCCTGGCTAGGTCCTGACAGTGCCTGCATCCCATCATCATCCACACAGATAGCTCCAGCCCCATCCCTGGCGGCCACCAGCTTTCTCATCCGTGAGCAACCGCCCCCTAATGTGGAGCAGTACTTTGAGACCATTCCGGGGGAGTTGGCGCAGGACTTAGGTGGGTCGGCCCAGACCACAGACTCGGCACTGCTTCGTGATCCCCATGAAGGGTTAGGAATAGACTGTCTCCTCTGACTTCATCTCCAGCTGCGTCTGATTATGAAGCAATATGGCCTGCACATCTGGTGCAAACCAGTGACATGCAGGCGATGATCTTCGCAGTCCTCGACTCCTCCTTTCCCCCGCCCCTACCCCCCAGGCAAGCCTAAGGTGTTGAGTAAGCTGATGGCTGGACCCAAGGGTCCTGAGATACAGGCTTGCACCCGCAAGTGCCTTCCTGCCTGCCTTCGAGGCGGTCAAGGTAGAATGCTGTGTAGCCTGGGTGGTCAGGGAGGACTTCCCTCAGTTTCCAATGACAGCAGCCCCCACGCCGCCTGCCTTGGCCCTGCAACGCCTGCCTTGTCCCGCGCCACGCCCTGTGGCACCCCACTTCGTCATCCGCTTGGCTTTCAAACCCACACCCCAGGGTCGCCAGGCCTGGGCCCCATGAGCATGCGCAAGGAGCTGGTCGTCTTCAAATCCAGCTTCCACACCAGGAACTACTGCTTGTCAGAATGCACCCAGGTAAGTTGCTGGGGAGTGAGGTAGAGGAGACGGAGGCAGATCCAGCCACTCTGACGGAGGGTCAGTGCGTCAATGCAGCGGGTGGTGGGGGGCCCTCCTGCCCACCAAGGCCGCGCCGCGCGGGTCCTGCGCTGCCTCGCTGTCCCGCCCAGACGACTATCCACCAATCACTCCTCTATCGGACCCAGGTGTGCGCCCTCATCTCCAACGCGGCAGTGCCCAAGCCGTAGCTACGCGGCCTCCAGATGGAGCACGTAACTCGCCAGGCGCTGCAGTGTGGCCGCGTCTGGCGCCACAGGGTCCCCGGCCGCCTCCTTTGGCGGTATCCTAACCCACGCTCCGCCGCTGGGGGCGTTCGTCAGCTCCCAGCCATGTGCTGCGGCCTCTGCAGTGGAGTGCTGTGAATCGAATGAGGCCCAGGGCTGGGTGGGTTTGGCATCCGATTATGCCAGCCAGTGCCAAGTGGCAAGCACACGCTTGACCAGGAGGCGCATGGAATGCATGTAGCGCAGCCAACACGTGTGCCCACTCACCCTGCTGCGCCTCTGGGAGGGTGGCCCCGAGCGCGCCGGCCAGGGCCTGGAGGGAAATGGTGGAGTAGGCGGTGGCCACCAGCCGGAGCACATGCTCACGCAGGTTCGAGGCGATGCCACGGACCAGGGTCGCCTGGTGGGGGTCCCAGCCGGAGCGTAGTAGGGGCCACAATCCGGCATAGTCTCGCTGCCACAGGAACTGGAGGGCCCTGAACGCGGCCTGCAGCTGCGGCTGGGAGTCTCGCACATGTGGGGGGCAGCGTTTGTACAGGAAGCGGGCGTCCTCCCTGCGGCGTGGGTTGGGAGGGCGGGGCATTTCAGAGTGCAAGCGTCGCGCCGGCCTTCCTCGTGAAGACCCAGCATTCCGTCACGTGCATGAATCCTTCCAGCTTGCTCACAGTCTGTTGCTATACATGAGGGCCAGCATGTGCAGCGCATGGGGCCAGGCTGGCGATTCGAACGCGGTCGGTGCCTGCGGCAAGGAGGGCCTGAGGTTTTGGATCTGAGATCAGCAACCCCGCCTTCTGCCGCAATCCACCTGGCGGCGGGGCGCAGGCAAAGCACCTACCTCTAGCTCTGCTTCATCCAGGAGGGGGGCTATGGATGGCAGGTCCCCGACAGTGAACAGGGACGCAACTCTCGCCTCCAGCTCTTGCAGCGACATCGGGGCCGGCTTCGATCAACCAGTTGCAGCCACCTGGCTCATCTTCGAAGTCAAGGGCATTTCCTTGCTGGCGTTCCACAGTTCGATCTGGCACAGGCTGGCTCGCTGGGAGGTTGGATCTCGACGATGCGCTCCAAGCCATGGTCGGGTTCCGGGCGCGCGACCTTCAGATACTCCCCTGAAGAGTCTGATGGAAAATAGTTACAAGCAATGCGTTCCTGAGCCAGGTCTCACAATTTGTATCACGTCAAGATGTACATGGTCGGTAAGTGTAGTATATATTCGCAGAGTGGTGAGGGGCGGAGGAAGGGCTGTCCTGCTGCGCTCCAGGCCCAGTCCAGACTGCGCGCCACTCCGGCCCCCCTCCACTCAGCTGCCGGGCACGATGCATTCATGGCCGACTGCGACACGCTCACGCCTTGCTCCCCTCCCCAAGGACCTGGCGCTTGTAGTACCTCATGCAGTAGCCGTGGGCATTGACGTCTGCCTCCGGGTTGCAGGAGCAGTGCTGGTTCAGCTCCCGCGACTGGGGGCAGTGGGTGTGGATGTCGTGCGTGTACCCGATGTCCTCAAACTGGTGGATCTCCGTCTTGTTCAGGAACAGCATGGCCGCGATGGAGTGCACCGGCGCGTCGCCCCACCTATGTGGTTGTGTGTGGGGGGCCCACGGAGAGGGTCTCAAGTGGCGAGGGCAGCCCCGTGACGTGTCGCCGCCGGGCCGATGCTCTGAATGGCGGGCGGGGACCACGGCAACATAGGAAAACAGGGCCCAGGGCCCTTGTACCGGCATCGCTCCCACGCCCCGCGCCCCTCTTTCCCTACTCGAGACCCTCCACCCCCCTCTGTACCGCTCCATGAAGAAGCCGCCCGAGGAGTCGAGGTGCTGGAAGTAGCGCTGGTAGGCATCGCCCCGCAGGAAGTCCAGCCGCCCGATCTCGAAGTTGCTCCAGAAGTGGCAGCCATTGTAGCGCGACTCGGCCAGCGTCTCCTCCAGGCTGGACCCCAGCCTGAAGCGCGAGGCGAAAGCCTTGATCCCGGGCTGGGCGGCCAGCAGGGAGGGCGCCGAGTGCAGGAACTCGATGCTGGTCGCCCAGAGCGAGGGGATGGTCTCCATAATCTGCGACAGGGTGTGGGGGCCAGTGGGTCGACAGGGGATTATTAGAGGGAGGTGGGGCCCTTGGGCACCTGGTAGACCCTGCCTGGCCAGAAGCCCCCCCCCCAGCACACACACCCACAATAGCCCTTCCATCCCCACCCACCTCCGTCAGGATGATGTTCCAGCCGTAGGAGGCGCCGCTGTCCCGCATGACGGCAAATGGGTCCCGCTGCAGGCTGCAGTAGAAGCGCACGTTGGGCTCCACGCGCCAGTAGTAGTCGAAGCCGCGCAGGAGCGGGTGGTTCATGAAGAAACCAGAGAAGTAGCGGCACATGTGGCGGTAGGACTCACTGCCGCCGTACAGCACGCCCGCGGCGCCCATGCGCCGCCACGCCGTCTCGGCCTCCACGCGGTCGACGTGCGCGGGCAGACCCCACTGCTCGGCGGGGACGCCGCCGAAGAAGACGGGCGCGTCTGTCAGCGCCTCCACCTCGGCCATGAAGTCGTCGCCGAACTCGGCATCGTTGACGAAGATGTCTGGGGAATGGAGTGTGAGAGGGGCGGTGGGGGGTGGCGGGGAGCGGCGGGGGTGGTGGGAGATGATGAGATGTGGCGGGGGGTGATGGGGAGCGGCGGGGTTGGGGTGTTGCTGGGTAAGGGGAGGGTGGGCTGTGGCGAGAGGGGGCGTGGCGCCACCCCTGCCTGACATCATACATGCCTCGGCAGGGGAAGGGTTGTCTGTCACCTCTCCACTCTCACAGCCCCCAAGCCTAGGCGGCACCAGCGAGGTCTGTGGCGCAGGAAGTCCCCTCCATGCCGGCGGAAACACGCACATGGGTATCGGGCCTTGCGGTTGAAGCGGGCCTCCAGGTCGCCCACAGACTGGATGACGCCCTGAAGGTCGGCCTGACGTGCCAACACAAAGTAGGCCGCCTTCGGCTTGTTCTCGGGCCAGGAGGCGAGCAGGGCTGCCGCCCGCCGCAGGTCGTCCTCGCTGCGGCGCTTAAAGTGCTCGAAGGTGGCGTTTTGGCTCGACACCCCGGGGCCATGGGGCGGGTAGCTGAGGAGCGCCGCATTGAGGGCGGGCGACTGGGATCCGCAGGGAGAGGGTGCACGAGTGCATGCTATGTACAGGAGGGCGGCGAGGGTTGTCGCCGTGAGGGCCAGGTGGGGGAAATGACGAGAGGGCCATCGGAGTGCCCCTGCCCGCGGCCGGCTCATGCTCCAGAATCGGCTGGAGGCCATGCCTCTCGATTCAATTACTGAAATCATAGACGATATAAGGCAGAGTTCACGCCGGTACTGTCAGTCCTCTGTTTAAGATCCGCTACTGGAGCTGTGGGTAAAGCCCAGGGGCAGCTGCTCAAACGCGAGTTGCGAGTGTTGTCGACTGATTATGCATCGGGGTGGGATACGAGTGTCGTGTACTTCCGTCTGATATCTCGACAGCTTTTCAAATTATTACGGGCCCGTCCATATCGAGGCGCCCAACCCAATGGGAGAATGAGCAACTGCTGCTGCATGGCGGAAGGCGCGTGGATCTCTTCTCCATCGAATTCCGCTGGCATGGGCAGGCGGAGGGAGGCGTCGGAAGTGAAGAGGTTGGGCTCGCCTCTCCCTGAAGATCGGGGTTTGAAAAGAAAGACCAAGAACGCAGGTCTATAGCTTATTCGGGAGGCATCATGCTGCTGTGAGTCTGGCCGACAGGAGTCTCGAGTCTGTCACGAGGACGAACAACGAGGACGGGCAGGTGCGGACAGCACCACGAAATCCTCCCCCAAATTAAAACACACATCAGGATGGAATCGTATCAGCCAAGTGTGAAAGATTGGGTCTTTGCCGAATCTGGGACCCCTGGTTCTCGTACCTTTTTGCGAATCCAGTCCGAAGGGCGACTGACTGACACGTGAGTGGAAACTCACGTTTTTGGTTATCCTGGGGAAATCGGACATTGTCCGTGAGTCCGACCGACAGTGCGGTCAATACTTGCAGAGTTTTTTGGCATACCGACATTGCATACGAGAGTAGAGAGAGATAGAGTAGTCATTACTCGACGCATTCGCCTTGGTTTGCACTTTTCCCCTGCCGGCTGACTTCGCTGGAGCCTGTGTCCGTGAGCACCCCCTGCCTAGTATGGCTCACCCCGATCCCGGGGACGGAAAAACGGATACGACCTTCGGAATCAGTATGAAGGTGCGGAAGGATGGGCGCTGGGGTGGGGCCTGCCTGCCTGCCCGCCTGCCGTCGCACGGGATGGCTCCTTCCGAAGTCGGAACTGCGCATTCTGCGGCACGCCGCCTCGCTCAAGGGCCATTGCCACCTCCACCCACGCTCGCACCATGTGAACCCTCGCAGACCACCACCGACTCCGACATAACGGGGCGGGTGGTGGAGGACTGCGTGCGTTGGATGAGCGGTCACGCCCTACACCGGGAGGGCCTCTTCACCGACCCTAGCCATGTGGACGGCAAGAAGCTCCTGGCCTTGCGCAAGGCGTACGAGGCCGGCAAACGCCCCCTTCGCCGCAGCTGTGGACCCCATGACCCCCTCACTGTGAGCTTTGGGAGTAGGTGCATGGTGCATTGTCGTTGGACCGATGTCCAGGCAGTGGGGGCGTCGCATGGGCTTCCAGCCCATACCTTGCCTTTGTTCCGGCTCTTACAGCCTCGATCCTTTTCAAAGGCGCTCCTCTCCTCGCCCCGGTCCTGCTCAGGTGGCCAACTTCCTCCTGCTGTGGCTGAGTTCTCTGCCCACGCCCCCTGTCTCTCGCGGAACGGCCAGCAGGCTGATGGAGGCCGCCGCGCAAGCGCCCGGCGCGGGCCCCGGCCGCCAGGAGCTACTGCGCCGCGCGCTGCGCAGCATGGACGGCGCGGCCCAGGACACCCTGTACGCCCTGTTCGAGTTCCTGCACCACCACTGGATCAACCAGCGCGACAGGAGGCAGGCCCTGTGCCAGCTGGCGCGCCTATTTGGGCCGCTCGTCGTGGGCGCCCGGCGCGGTGCGACCCCCGCCCAGCCCGCCTGCCACGCGGCGCTGGAGGCGACGGCGGCGCTCATCGCCGACTTCCGCCGCCTCTTCGTCCAGCCCATGAAGCTGCAGCGCTACCTCGCCGACCTCGACCTGCCTGATGAGTGCGGTGAGGCGGGCGCGGGCGCTACTGACACGAGCAGCGAGACGGCAGACGCCACGTCAGGACCGGAGCAGGAGACCTGCCCCGACCCAGAGCTGGTGGCAGTACTAGATGGCATGCTGGGGGACATCCTGGGCGTGTCCCTGGCCGGCGCGGCCAAGGCGGCCAAGGAGCCGTGGTCGCCCACCGGCATCGCGGACGCTGGCGCGTTTGAGCTGGACGGCATGTCCGAGAGCTCCTCCTTCTCCAGCGCGGAGGACGGGGAGGAGGACAGCCCCCAGCGCCGGCTCTGGGGCTCGCGCGGGGGCTGCGTCGCCGGCGGCCCGCCCCTTCGCCTCGTGGTGTAGGCGCGTCGAGGCCTGGAGGTGTTGGAGGGGTGTGTGGAAGCTCATATGACTCCACACCCCCCTGCACCCCACAGCCCCCTCGTCGGTCTGGACAGCCAGGGGGCCCCCCTGGACCTCCACCATCCGCATCCCAGAGGGAACCTATTTCATGAGAGCTGCGCGCGCCCATGGGCCCTGCGCCCTTGCCTGAGCCGCCCGTTTTGCAGCATCCCTACATGCTGCAAAACGGTCGACCAGCTCCGCTTTTCTACTACCAGCTTGCCGACCTCCCTCGCCCATCATCACTGTTACATGCCCGCCCCCTTCGCCCCATCACACTGTTCCGTCCGAATCCCTTGGCAAATGTGCGCCCTTGTGTCAGTATTTCGCGAGTGTCCACCGATAGAAACGCTGCAGCAGTGCTACCAGGGTGGAGGTTGGGAGGTGTGAGGATGAGGGGGGGTTGCAGTGGGGGGAGGGGGGGGTGCAGTGAGCAGTATTCGGCACAGGAGTGTGCAAATTGTGGACAAGAGGAGGGCTAAGGACACCGCATGAACACAGGATAGGGGCAGTGGGGCAGAGTCGTGGAGGGGAGGACTCCAATACCAGGTTGACACTGTGAAGACCTGCTTGACAAACCCAGACTCGATCGGGCAACAGGTCAAAGGAGCACCAGACCGGGGCAGGGGCCGCGCTGGCAGCTCAACCCTGCCGTCACTGCAAGAGGGCGAGGCCCTGCAGGCTGGCGGCGAGGTCCACCGGCTCCACCCGGCCCTCGGCCACCCACAGGTTGGTGTGTGGCCAGTCAACGTGGCTGGACAGGTCTTCGTCGGGCCCCTCCCTGGTCGCTAGGGTCTGGCCATGCATGCCCATGAGCTCCTCCAGCCGGCCCTGCAGTCTTTCGGCCCGCTCCTGTTTCGTGTGTTGAGGGGGAGACCCTCGCGAGCGCTTGGAGTGTAGGGCTCGAGCGTAGCGTTCGGCGGCGCGATCAACCACCGACGCCCCGTCCGAATGGTTGAGAGTAAAGGGAGCGCGGGCGCCCTGCGTGACCCACGACTGCTCACCCCCCCCCGACGACACCCCCTCGAGGCTCGATCCTGCAGCTCACACCCGGTTCCTCACCCGCTGCGCCTGGAGGCAGGCCTCGTCCAATCCGCCGGCCAGGCAGCTGGAGCCGCATACAGCGCGGCACAGCTCCGGGGGCTGCAGGGGCACCCCCAGCTCCACGCTGATGGGGGCCCAGCCGTCCTCCTTGCCCCGGATCAGGCGCAGCGTGCCCAGCCGCCCCGCCAGGCCCAGGCGCTGCAGCGCCGGCAGGAGCCCTTCCGGGGCGGGCACCGCCACCTCCCGCGCCGGCTCCCCCGCGCCGCAGAGCCGGAAGCCGGCGAGCAGGTGCGTGCCCTTTCCCTGCCCACCTGCGGGCGGCAATGACTCGTCTTGCAGGCCAGGGCCCTGGTCGTACACTGCACCGCCACCCGCCCCCGCGGGCCAGGTACGGGTCAGGCTGGGGACCAGGCGCAGCGCGTCCAGCCGCCGCCGCACCTCCTCCGGCTCCTCGTGCGCGCCTGCGGCGCCGCAGGCGGCCTGTTCCCTGGGCGCCGCGCCGTCAGCTTCCCACGCGCCGCCGACGCCGTCGGCCCACCCCGCCAGCGAGTGGAGGGGCCCCGCCCCTGGGCTCAGCGAGGAGGGGTCGCCGGCGGGGGCCCCGCTGGCGTCTGCCAGGTCGCTGGCGTCAAAGTCGGCCCACCCCTCCCCCGCCGAGCCCTGGGAGTCGGGGCGCGGGAGGGGCGCGGGGGAGCCCGGGCCGCCGCTGGCGTCTTCATTGTCGTCGGCGTTTTGGAACCTGAAGCTGGAGGGCGGCGGCGGGGCGTCGGGCAGTGGCACCTCTGCGATCTCGAGATCCTGGCGGGTGAGAGTGAGGGTGGTCAGGAGGGGGTGTGGAGGGGGTGTTGATGCGGTGAGGGCTTGCCAAGGTGGCAGGCGGGGAGGAAGGGGTGGGCCAGCGGGAGGCTGGGTGAAGAAATGGATGCCGCGGGCACTGTGGGGTGCATGGTGGGCAGATGCTCCCTCGGACTATACCTCACAGCCTGAAGATCCATTCCCGGACGACCTCCCCCAAACCCAAGCTTTTGCCTTCCACCCATTCCATCCAGACTTTCATGCCTCCAGCACCCACCCCCCCAAAGAAAGCCGCCATTCCCCCGACCAGCCTCGCACACCTCCACAGCGTCGCGGAGGGAGGCCGCGCCCGGCGGCACCCCCGCCACCCAGTCCAGGGGCAGGACGAGGAGCGGCGAGCGCGCGAGCGCGTCGTTCAGCGCGGCCAGCAGCCCCGCCCGGGGGACCAGAGCAGGCTCGGCGCAGCCCCGCGCCGCGCCGCCATCCGCCGCCCAGGCCCACAACAAAGCAGCGGGACAGGCGGCGAGGCAAGCGGGCAGGCGCCGGCAGCGCTGGCCCGCGGCGAGCACCAGTGCGGGCGGCGCGCCCGGCGCCTCGCGCAGCAGCGCCAGGAGCAGCCAGGGCGAGGCGGCGGCGGGGGAGGGGCCCAGGCCCACCGGACCGGCGCGGCGCAGCGACTGCGGCAGCGGCGCGCCGCCCAGCCCCGCCACGGGTACCAGCGCCGCGTAGGAGGCGGCCAGGATGCGGTGCGCGGCGGCGGGGGCCAGGCTGGCCAGGCTCTCGGCGCGCAGGAGCTCCAGCGGGCGCGGCGCCGCGCCGCGGGCGCCGGGGGCCATCAGCGCGCGCATGAGCGTCGCCAGGCCCGCCGCGTATCCCGCCAGCGCGCGCATCTCGCCCTCGAAGGCCGCCCCCGCGGCCGCGCTGGCCTCCAGCTCCGCCGCCAGCTCGGCGACCACGGCCGCGCCGCTGACGCGCCCGCCCTCGAACAGCGACACCGAGTGGCGTTTGCAGGCGGGGGTCAGCGCGCCCATCATCAGGTAGCCTGTGACCTCGCTGTCCACCACCAGCGCCACGCCGCGCCCCCCCCGCTGTGTGCCGGGGGCGGAGGCGGAGTTGCTGGGCATGGGGGGTGCCTGCCCCGGCGGCGCAGGGCCGGACGGCGTTGGGCCGGACGGCGCCCGGCTCAGGGTTTCCTGCCCCGGGTCCCCCTGCGAGGCCGCGTGAGCCCCACCCTCGCAGGCGCTGGTGGTGCGGGGGGTGGGCGTCATGCCCAGCACAAAGGGCTCGGACAGCGAGGCGCGGGGGGAGGGGCTGGGCGTGGAGCCGGCCTGCGACGCCTCGCGGCTCAGCCCCGCCTCCGCCTCGTCCAGCTTGCGGCAGAATCCCAGCCGGCACGCCATCGACACCGCCACCTTGCCGTTTTGTTTGGGAACGGGAGGTTGGTGAGGGTGAGTGGAGTCACATGGACTCAAGGTAGTGTGGGGGGTAGAGAACCAACCACACACCGCATGGCCTGGCGCGTTCCGCGGGGACCCATTCCTGGTGGGACACAGAATCCCCGAGCCCTTCCCACGCCCAGCTCAAGTACATACTTCAGCCCCCTTTGCTGCGGATGTCCCCCCCTCCCCCCCTCCAAAAAAAGAAAAACATAAACCACACGCACAGAACAGTTCCTACTTTCCAACCCCAGCCCTACCCGCAGCGTGGGCACGTCCACGCCCAGGATGGCGGCCAGGTCGGCCACGGTCACGCGCTCCGAGGCGGCCACGAAGACGGAGTAGAGCAGGGTCTCCAGCGGGTCGGCGTCGCCGCCGCCGCCGGAGCGGTTGCTGACGAAGCCCTCCAGTGGGGGCACCGAGATCTGGTCGCGCGCGGCGATGGGCACGTCCAGCCAGACCAGGCCGCGGCGGTGAAGGGAGGCCACCAGCGCGGGGGCCTCGGGGCCGAGGTCGGCGAGGCGCGCGGCGCCGCCGCGTGCGCCCGCGCTGGCCCGGCACAGCGCCAGCTCGGCGGGGGTCAGGCGCCGGTGCTCCGCCTCGCTGACGTTCACCACGTGCACCGTCCACCAGGGCTCGGGCGAGGGCGGCCGCGGCTCGGCGGGGAGGTGGTCGCGAACCGCGCCGCGGTTCATGCGCCACATCAGCTTCTTGGACTTGGCCTGAGGTGACGGGAGGGTGCGGGGTGTGGGTCCCCTGGGGACTGCGACCCAGGGTGCCCATGCTCGGGGTCCATGCCTCCCGCCGCGCTCAGGGACAGGCGCTCTTGCCCCCCTCCCACACACGCACGCGCGCACACACAGCCAGCCAGCCAGCCAGCGCCCTCGCCTGGACCATGGCGGCGATGTACTCGTTGCGCCCGATGCCCACCACCCGCACGATGTCGGCGGCGGTGAAGTTGGGCACCGAGTCGTAGGGCAGGTCCTCGCGCATGAGGTCGGCCAGCAGGCCGGAGTAGTACTTGAAGGGCGTGACGCGCGCCACGCGGCACACGTACTCCGACAGGTGGTAGGGGAAGAGGCGGCGGTGCGCGCGGCAGTGGGCCAGCAGGTCATCGTAGTACTCCGCCTCGGGGCAGACGGTGCTGGCGACGGAGGCCACCCAGCTGAAGCCACGCACGATGCAGAAGGTCTTGACCCTGTTGCCATGCGGTGGTGTGGGGGAGGATTGGAGGGGAGTTGGACATTGGTTTTGGGGGAGGGAGGGGGGTATGATGAAGGGTAGGCGGGAGGGAAGAGGGTGGGCCTGGTTCCCATACACAGAGTGTGCGAGCCTGGCTCTTAATTGAGGGGGCCACTCCCGGTGGCCGGCCACCCCACCCACTTGCGGCGCCAGTCGTCCTCAGTCAGGGTCTGTCTGAATCTGGGGGGCAGATCCTCATATCTCTTGCCCTGTTCCAGGAAGCGAAACAGGTACTCCTCGGTGGCCATGCGGGATGGGCGTGTTACGCGGTGACAACGCCCTGGGCAAACCGAGGGGTCAGGGACATGCCTGGCACCGCTCTAGCTCGGCTACTTGTTGCATGCTGGATCTACGCACATGTTGGATCACGAGCAAATCTCATCATATGCCCCAATGGAGGGTGTGATCGTGCACATCGCCGTGGTCAGCGCTTCCTCGATACGAAACTGAATGCGGAAGAGTGTCCCGCGCAAAGACCTGGCCCGAGAGAGCCCGTGATGATCACGATCCCTGCAGGCACCGAACTCTCCAAACTCTGCATCCGCAAATTGATTCTATCAGTCAGGAAGGGGTCCGAAATTCCCATATCTGTCACCGCTGTATCGAAAAGGACTGGCGTAGGGGAGAAGCGATCACTGGGAGCTCGGCCTCAAGCTCTACCCCAGCTGTGCCTGCCATGCAGCTCGATCTGTCCATGCTGGAGCCTGTCACCAGGAACGCCAAGCAGACACAGGAGGCGTGCCTGACCGGGATATCCGGGGAGGGCATCGACGCCTTCCCCCTCCCAGCCGTGGCCGATGTGAGTCCTGTCCCGCCGCATCGTCTGATTGAAATTTAGATTATTCATCCAGCATGCAATCACGAAGAGCTCCATCCGCTAAATCGATTGCTGCAGCTGGACTCGTTCGAGAAGGAGGTGGTAGAGTACGTGAAGCCCTCCCACGGCACCACGACATTGGGCTTCATCTTCCAAGGCGGCGTGATCGTGGCAGTGGACTCCCGAGCGAGTCAAGGCTCCTACATATGTGCGTGTGTTGGGCTGCGCAGTGGGACTGGGGCGACGTGTTGAAGGGTGCATCAATGAATTTTGAGTGCGCATGACGGCCTTATGCACCCTTCTCCTATTCCCCCACGCACGTCGAGCAGCCTCCCAGACGGTGAAGAAGGTGATTGAGATCAACCCCTTCCTCCTGGGCACCATGGCTGGCGGTGCCGCCGACTGCCAGTTCTGGGAGAGGAATTTGGGCCGCCAGGTAGTGTGGGTGGGGGGGGATTGTATGAGGCATGTGCACATCTGCTAGAGTCTCTTCTTCCTCAGCACTGTCTGTGCAGCTTCAGCGTGCGGCATCAGGTTCAGCGCGAGCCTACCATGCTGCGACTTGTAAAGGCGTATTGTGTTGCACAAGTGCCTCACCGCTTGCCCTCCCTTTCTACAGTGTCGCCTGTATGAGCTGAACAACGGCAAGCGCATCACCGTGCGGGGCGCCTCCAAGCTCCTGGCCAACACCATGTTTTCATACCGTGGCATGGGGCTCTCCATGGTGCGAAGAGTGGAAGTGTAGTGTTGCTTGTCGGGGTTTAGACAGGGCCCCCTCCCCGACGACTGTCGATAGTCGTAGAGAGATTTGCATTGCAACTCCCGGGCTGCCCTCTGCAGCGCTCGGTTGTGTCTGTCACGAGCCGCACCTCACTGATACAGTCCCTACCACACTCCAATGCCAGGGCACCATGGTGGCTGGCTGGGACGTGGCAGGCCCCGGCCTCTACTACGTCGACTCCGATGGCCAGCGGACCAAGGGCCAGCGCTTCTCGGTCGGGTCGGGTTCCCTGTACGCCTATGGCGTCCTGGATGCGGGGTACAGCTGGTGAGCGAGAAGGATGTGATTCCCGGGGTGGGTGCGGCACGCAGAGCATTGGCGGAGCTCTCGTTTGGTATGGTGATGGTGTCTGTCCTAGAATATGCTTGGGATGTGGTCAGCGGTGGGGCTTCCCAGCTCTGTGTCCTGGCACACTGTTTCCCGGTGCGCTCCCCTGAGCCTGGTCCGTCAACACCCTCCCTTCTTGTCACCCTCACCGCAGGGACATGTCGGTGGAGGACGCCGTGGAGCTGGGGCAGCGAGCGATCTACCACGCCACGGCCCGCGACGCAGCCTCGGGCGGTACCGCCAGCGGTACGTTGTGCCTGGTGGAGGCTGAGGCGGGGATGTCGGCACGTCGGGGGTGCAGGCGCCTTCATGCCACGGCGCGGGGGAACACCCGGCGCGAGTGCTGGAACAGTCGGGCAGCGAACCGTGCAGTTTTAGGGCTGTGGGGTGAGGCAGGGCGCCGCGCTCCCCGCCAGACGGCAGGCTGATCACTCGCCCTGCGCCCGTGCAGTGTACCACGTGACGGAGGCGGGGTGGACCAAGGTCCGCGGCGAGTCAGTGGGGGAGTTGCACTACAAGGTAGGCGGGGTGGAAGGGGCGGAGGGGGGGTGCGGGGTCACAGAGAGCGAACAGGTGCAGGGACCCTGTCGGCGAGAGCATGCGACCTCCCTCATCGCCGTGCTCCGCCTGCCTGCACCCGCCCCTGTGCGCACGGCAATGGCCTCACCCCTCGCCCCATCCCTCGATCTCCGGCAGTACTACCCGGACCCGCTGGTGCGTTCCTCCATCGCCGTGGACCCGCTGGCGACGTGAGCGCAGCGCGCGCATCTGGGCCGGATGCCGGGCGCAGGTGTGGGCTGGGGCCCCGAGCCCGGGCGCAGGCGGCTCCCTGGGCCAACGCCCCTCTTGCAGACCTGCACCATGCCGTGCACCGCTGCCCCCTGCATGTTACGACACCAGCAAGCAGGGCTCCCCGGGGGGGGGGCAGCACGGGGCGGGTGCCAGCGCCTGGCGCATGGGCGGCATGCATGTGTGGGACTGGCAGCGAGCACCTCGCCGCACAGGGCAACCGGCACACCGTGCGCGCGTGCGCCGCACGCGGTGGGTTGCGGGCGTGGCGTCCGTAAACCTCCCCCGCACAGAGCCCTCAGAACTGCTGGTAGATGGAGTAGGCGCGCATGATGCGCTGCAGGCCGCCCAGCTTGCGAGCCACCGGCCCCGGCGCACCCAGCTCCTTGAGCTCCGCCTGCAGCGCCGGCCACTCGGAGGAGGCCTGGCCCCCAAACAGGCCCCTGTGCCGCGCAAACAGCGAGCGCGCCTCCTCGTACGCCGCCGCCAGCTGGAAGGCGTAGAGGCCGGCGGCCTGCGCCAGGTCGCGCCCCGGCTCGGGAGTGGCCAGCACCGCCAGGCTGCGCTCCGCCTCCACCAGCGCCAGGCGCGCAGGCACGGCCTCGGTCTTGGGGTCGGGGGGGGCGGGGGTGATGAGCCTGTGGGCGGTTTCGGGGAGGGTGTTGGCAGGGGGGGAGAGGTGGGAGAGTGTGCGCCCAGCGTAGGTAGGCCAAGGGCAGCAGGGAGCCGGGTCAGCGCGCTGAAAGGAGTGTTCCCAGGGGAGAGCCAGGCAGCGGGGGTTCGCCAGACATGGCCCAGGCACGAGAGGTCTCGCCCACCCCCCGGCAGACGCCAAGCCACCTGCTAGTCCAGTACAGGAGGCCGCCCGCAATCAGGAACGCGGGCACCGCGGCGACGAGGGCGATGGACAGCTCGTTGGACTTGAGGATCTGGTCGATCTCCAGCATGGCCGACTCGGAGTCCACCTTCAGCTTCTGGACCTGCGGCGGCAAGATGTTGTGCAGGGAGCGAGTGAGCCGGCGCCCAGGCAGGAAGGGTGCCCTCGTCTGGCGGCGGTGAGCCACCCCGAACGTCTACTGCTGCCGCTGAGAAGCACAAGCACACTTCATGGGGCCGCCTTCCAGGGGTACATGCCGTGTGGCTCACGAGGACCCACCCGCCCTCCCCAATCCTTGCTCGCCTGGATCAGGAGGCAGCGCGCCAGGTCGCCCGCCACCAGGTTCCGGATGGGCTTCTTCAGCTCATGCTCGTACCGCCGCATCATCGTGTCCATCCCCTGCGAGCGCGGGGGGGGGCAGCGGGGCGGCGGGACTGGCTGCCGGCGGGAGGCAGGAACGGGGGAGGTGGGGTCATTGTGCCTGTGCACCGCACGTGCTGACATCGCACTTTGGGAGGGGGCCCGCCGCCTCTGGGGGCTGGCATCAAGCGAGCGTCGCCATCCTCCACATTCCGCCCTTCCAGCAGCCTGCCCACCTGGACGAGCACGGCGTCCCCCGCCGCGGGAGGGGGCGCCCCCGGCCCGGCGCCCCCACCGCCGGCCCCGCCTGCAGACCCCCGATCCCGCTCAAAATCGCCCAGCATGCGCGCCAGCGAGTCGCGGTCCGCCTCGTACTCGGCGAGGCTGACGATGCTGGGCCGGCTGCGGAAGGTGGTGAACAGCTCGTCCCGCACCGCCTGCAGCGGCGCCAGCAGGTGGGCGTCCAGCGCCGCGCGCGTGGCCCCCACCCCCGCGCTCCACCAGCGCTGTAGGTCGCTGCTGCCGGCCAGCGGGGAGTGCCTGGGGTGCGGATGGGTAGGTTGGGGGGGTGAGAGGGTCGAGGGGTGGGAAGGAGGTCTGTGGTCCAGTCTTGCCAGGCCTTCCACTGGTGCTCATCGGGATGCTGTGGCTGTGAATGAGCCGGCAGATGAAAGCCACGCCGCCATTGCAGGCAGGGAGGAGGAGGGTCGAGGCCCCACCTGTCGCAAAGTCCCCACCGTGGCACCCTGTCTGGAGACCCCTTGCGCTGCCCCATTCACGCTTTGCCCTGGACTCCCACCCCACGACCACCCACCACACTCTCGCGATCAAAACATGCATGCCCCCCTTTTTCTCACCTGACCACAAACAGGGCCCCCGCGCCGGCGAGCGCCCACACGACACCGTACTTGACCCAGTGGCGCTGCAGCTCGCTGGGCATGCGGGCCCAGCGCGGAACGTGCACCAGACGCTCGGAGGAGGAAAGCGCGGCAGAGGCCGCGATGGCGTCGCGCGCCGCCTGGTGCACCGTGGCCCCGGGCGCGGGCTCGAGATCCGGGGCGCCCAGGGTGGCGCGCAGCGCGCGCAGCGCGGCGCTGCCGGCGGGGCTGGCGCCCCCGCCGGACGCGGGGGCGCCACCCGCGGCCGCGTCCGCCGGGGTGGCTGGCGCCGCGACGCCGCCCCGCTCGCTCGGGCTGCCCCGCTCGCCCAGGCCGCCCGGGACGCTGAGGATGCGCCGCAGCCCGGGCAGGCCCAGGACCTTGGAAAGCGCGGCGTGCAACACATGGTCCCGGCGCGCCGCCGGATCTGCCACCTCGGCGGCGGCGGCGGCGTCGGCCCCCAGAATGCTCGCCATGTCGACGGTCAGATCGCTGAGTGCCTTTCAATGTTTGCGGGGATGGGGGGGGGGGGCAAAAGGAGCTGCGGGGATTCGACGCTCGGCGCGATCGGGATGAGCCTGTGCGGGGGCGCCTGACCCCAGGAACGACGTGCTGGCGGCTTTTCGGGGGCACCATCCCCTCCTCCTACCGCATGGCCAGCTCAGACACCCCACCCTCCCCGCCAGGCATGCAGCGCACCTTGCTGATGTCTGTCATGCAGCGCTCGACAGCCGCGTCGGCGGCCTGGAACAGGCTCCGCTCCTCGCCGTTGCCGCCGGGTTCCTGCCGCACGTGGGAAGTCAGGAGCAGCAGCTCTGCGGCAGACTGGATGCAAGCCAGGGAGCGGCAGAGGGAGTCCCGGAGCAGGCGGAAGACGAGCACCTGTGGTGGGAGGGAGGCTTGCTCAAGCTTGGTGCAGCATGAGAAGATACAGGGCAGAAGTACTACCTGCATCACCCTGCCCAGCCTTGTCTCGGTGGCACTCGCAGAAACCCGCCCTCCCCCCCCAAGACACCCACCCTCTTCTCCATGAGCTCTGCCGAGCTCAGCCCGCCGGCTTGCACCTCCTTCAGCCGGAGGAGTTGGGCGCTGCGATGCAAGAACGCGCCGGGACCCTGGAAGGAAGAAAGGGGGAGTGAGGTTGGATGGCGACACATGCAACTGCGCATTGAAACAGACACGGAAATCCACATCTGAAGGGCGTGACCTCCTTGCTGCAAACGCCGGAAGGAATCTGTCACAGCATGGCTCCAGGTGTGAGGAGCAGGTCGGAGTCATGAACGGACACCAAGGGAGCCTGCCATGTGCCGATCCTTCCCCATCACTGCCCTCTACTGTCCTGCCACCCACCTGCTGCAGCCAGATGAACCAGAAGTGATGCTCCTGCTTGACCCTGCCCTCCCAGAAGGTGAGGTTTGCGGTGGCATCATCCAGCTCCGCCAACACCCTGCTGAAGGCGACCTGGGACAGCTGCAGAGCTGCAAGCCACACCTCGGCCAGGGCTGCCTCCTGCAGGTGGGTTAGCTTGACTGGTTACTGACCTCGAGTGCATGGATTGCCGAGGCTGAGAATCTCATCCGTGCGAACAGTCTGCGTCCCAACCCTCCTGCCCGAGAACCCTCTTCTTACTGATTCACTGGTTGCTGCTCGGCGCAGGGCAAAGATTATGTCCTGGGCTCGGCCCTCATCCAGGCCAGCCACTGGGAATGTCCACTTTCGTCGACGGGTATCACGGGAGATGAGGAGCGCCTGCGCGGGCGCACGGACCAGTCGCCATGGCAGGCGAACCAAGTTCTTTATCATTACAGTACAGGCACTGTAAACAGACCGGTTCTACAGTGAATCTTCGGTTGTTGGGGTCGGAGGTGCGTCGTGCACTTGTGCACTCTCCGCCTGACGCCAAGCTACACACCCCAACGCGGCGTGTGTGTCCGTCGCGATTGGTAAATGTGACTCTGAGTGCACGCCAGATCGCGATGGGATGCTAGGTGCGAGGTGACAGCTCGGTGCACTGCCGAGAATCCGGCGCGCGCAGTCTGTCGAAGTGATCTCGTGTCCGGTTGGTGATCAGATACAAACACGCTGCAGACACAGCGATGGAGGTGGACAAAAGAGGCTGTCTGTACACTTGCAGCAATTCTGGGGCACAGAGTGAGCAGTGCCGCTGTGGGAAGAGGGAAATGCAATGTAAACCTCACAGGTCAGATGATTTTCCCAGTCTCCAGATTGAGCGGCAGGAAGCCAGCCTTCTCCCTGTTCTCAGACAGGCACACGACGTCCCCCTGCTCGCAATCCTTGCAGGCCCCACACGATTTGCGGCAGGCCCCCAACCTGAGGGGTTGGGATGGGCAATGTGTGTATGATACTGGAAAGGGCCCCTACCCTCAAATTCGCGCAGCAGGACGGCTGCCCTCAGCGCTCATCCTCGCGTGGACATCTTGCACACACGTGTGGGATGGTGACTCCATCTCCTCAGCCCCCCCACATAATCGCCCACCCCACCCAGAATCCCTGTCAACGTGCCCATTCTTCCCGGAACCACTATAAATCCCACAACCCCAGGCTCACTGGAACATGTCGCCGACCATGAAGCCGGAGTTGCTGCTGCACTGCCCAGACTCGACCCAGCCTGGACACCGCTCGTCCCTGTCCGAGCAAATTTCCGGCACGGGGATTTCCGGAAGGGGCTGCGTGATGATGGGAGGATGGGTGGGAGGACAAACGCTCAGCAGGGCATCGGCCGGCAGAAGCTGATGTGTGGGCGATGCGGGCGAGACATGTGTCGTCCGGGCTCTTTAGCCTTGCCATGCCGGGGGCGATCAGACGCAAGCACCCGCCCCGGTCACACCCAGGCTCGGCGCTCACCGTGTGGTCCGGGAAGCCCTCGGGCCGGAAGGGCTTGGTGTGGATCCACTTGGTGGCGGTCCACTTGGTGCCCTTCACCACAGGGCAGCCGGTGTGCATGGCGGCGGGGTCGTGGGTGCCGTCCGGCTTCAGAGAGTGGAAGAGCAGGGCGTCCCCCTTCCTGGGCCGCGCCGCCACGCTCCCCTGGGCGCAGCTGGAGAAGGGGCCCAGCCGCTGCTCCAGGGCGGGGTCCACCCACTCAGAGCCCTGTGGAGAGGAGGACCGGTGGGGGAGCTTGGTACCCAGGGAGGGGTAGAGAGCAGTGGCAAGGGGCGGTGGGCTACGAGCAGTGGGAGTACCATGAGGGGTTGTCTCGCAGGCAGTCACGCCCTTTCATGCATGGCCAAGTCTCGTGCTGTTCGTAGTTCGAGAGGGTGGGCGCATGGCGGAGGGCAGCAGGGCACACGCTGGGCGCCAGCACCCTGCCAAGCTGCACCCCATGCGCATGTACTCCTGCTCCCGGCGAGCGCCAGAACTGGGCCCGGCCCACAACCTGCCCAGGAGACACACACACAACCCTAACCCTGGCAGCCCCGCGGACCGTGGGGAACGCGGTCTCGCCTCCCTCCTCGGTGTCGGCCAGGTAGACGAGGACGGTGGCGGTGCGGGGGGAGTCGTTGTCCAGCGAGTCATAGTGCGCGCCGTACTTCTGCCCAGGGCCGTAGCGCAGGATCTGGGTGTCCTCCTGGTGCGTAATGTTCAGCTTGGTCCACGACGCCAGCCGCTCCTCCATGGCTGCCACCACGGGGTCCTGCAGTGCAGGTGGGGGGGCAGGAAAGGGTGGGCCAACGTCGGGACCTGGTGGTGCAGAGGCCGCCGTGCCTCCATGGCCCCGCAAACAGCCCCTGGGGCCACAGCTCTCCTGCCACCCGGTTGCCGATTCAGAGACTGGACCCTGCCCAGGGGGCCACCTGGTAGCGGCGAAGGAAGGTGCCGTAGGAGGTCCGCACGTTGTCCAGCACAGACTTCCCGCCCAGTCCAACCACCGTGGAGCGCTGCATCTGCAGGAGGTGGAGGAAAGGGAGGAAAGGTGCTGAGTGGCTCTCGCCCTTCCCTGGACCGCGATGCGCTGCCAGTACAATGCGCTTCTGCTCCGAACAAGCCTCCACCACTGCTTTGTAAGCCTGAAGGGTTCCTCCGACAGCGTCTTGAGGATGCACTCTACCAAGCACGTGTAGAAAGACCGGAAGTGTGGACCACCCCACCACCCCCAAGTTAAGTGGCGCACAAAGGGCTTCGCGATCGCCACCAGGTGATCCGCGTCGGCGGCCGTCAGGAAGTTATGGTACAGGTACGCTCGCGGTTTCCAGGACAGCTGCTCGATCCTGCCGCGTGGTGGATTGCATGGTAGGGCTGGTGAGGCACACTGGGACACCAGCTGGCAACCAACCAGGAAATAGGGGAGGGCTGTGGGAAAGTCCGTGCGGCCCTGCTGGCAACCCCCAGACTCACCATGGCTCCAGAGATCTTGTGAGGTCTCGCCCGACGGGCCGATTTGTCATGGCAGATGTGACTGCACGATTAGTTGGGGGGGCGTAAGCCTAAGGAGGGGGGGGGGGGCATGACCCATAAGTCTATTTGTTGGCGTAATTTAAGGTTCTATTACCTGTTATGAGTAGGCTCAGCGCCAATACTGTCCATCCTGTGTGCGAGGTCGAGCGCATGGCTGCGTGTACCACGAGGACTCGTTCGACAGTAAAGCTGCGGATTTATTGTCGTCTAAAGGAGGGGAAGACACGCGCGACACCGTTCACCCTCGATTTCGCATCAATTTACTACTGCGAAGATGTATGACGAAGAATTCTTGCCGTAAGAGGATGGTTCAGGGGGATCGCAAGCTCCCTACAAGTGGCGCGCGGCCTGAGCGTTGTCCGACCGCACGCCCCGCACGGGCATCTCGCAGATCTCTGGTGCAGCGGAAGCTCCCCGATGATTACCTTGCCAGCTCCTGTGATAGGAACCTTCCTCGAGTGCTGAATAGCTCCGACGATCTGTGAAGGAGGAGCCTGTGGCTTCTTCGAGGAGTGGGCGATTACCTGGAACACAGGCTGTGGGCCTGCAACGCCCCTGACGGTATGTACACGATCATTCCTTCTTTGCTATACAACATTCGTATCTCTTTTCAACTCTACCTGGGCCACTTACTCCCACTCCTCGATCTCACAGCCTATCGTGCACGGCGTTTGAATAATGAGTGACACGGGCGAGGACTCGAAGGCCAACATCAAGCCCGAGGGTGCGTCCGACCCCAATGTACTGAGCATCAAGGTCAAGGATCAGCTTGGAGGAGAGGTACGCGGTCATCTGAGACCCTGACTTGTGCTCGCGACGAAAGTCGCTTGGTGTGGCCGTGCGGGCTCGGCCAGGCTCTGGATCGATGATAATCTCTCCCCGACATCGCAAACGGTGCCGAACGTGCTCACCTCCGCAGGTCGTGTTCAAGGTGAAGAAGTCCACCAAGTTCGAAAAGATCCTGAACGCCTTCTGTCAGAAGAAGGCCGTGGCGATCTCGGAAGTGAGGTTTGTGTTTGATGGCACCAGGATCAACCCAAGTATGACACCAGAGGACATGGAGATGGAGGATGGGGACACGGTGAGGCGATGAATGAGTGGCTGTTTTGGGGGTGAGAGCCACAACGGGTTGAGTGGTTGCGTGTGGCTCAGTGCCCTGTCATTTGCCCTGGCTGTTCAGGTCCCGACTCCTTGGCTCCTGCACCCATCCCGTCGATGCAGGTCGATGCTTTCTTAGAACAAACAGGCGGCTGCTGAGAGTGAAGGATGAAGCCTCTCAGCCTTTGCTCTGCACTCTCAAGCATATTCGTGCAGAAGGCATGGGATGCCTTGGGCTGCTGAGATTCACACACTTGTCACTCTTCTGCCATAGGCACCCCTGGCTATCTGATGTGTCAGGGCCCTCGCTTTCCTGCAGAGTCGGTCACAGGTTACGCTCGGCTTCAATCAGAGTTGGAGTGGGGTCTGGCGGGGTGCAGATCATGTGAGGAGGTGGGATCGCACCTCGGTAAAGGAGGGGCCATGTGCGTCACACGGACGACAGAACAAGAGAGTCCGGTTCATAGGAGTATACAGCAGTGCCAGGGGGGGTTGCAGATGCAGCCCTTGCTCTACAAAAGAGAATTATGCAAGCTGGTCAAGGACGAGTAGATATTCTTCCCGGAAGCACAAGTCATAATTTGAGTTTCCCGGCGCTCGACACCGCGCCCACACCTCAGTCTGTCTCAGCCGCTCTACCCAAGCTTGAGTTGGTGCAGGCGTGCCTCCAGCGCCGCCCTGGACGCGGCATCCTCCGGGGAGAGGCATGCTAATGCCTGTGCTGCATTGTCCAGCTGGTCATGTGGAAAGGATTGGAGGTGCCTCAGCAGGTTTGACTTCAGGGTCTCCACCAGTCGCCTGGGGGTGGGGGAGCGCGGATGTGGGTTGGCAGGGGGTCTGAGAGGAGCAGGGTAAAGGGTGTCCGAACGGTGTCATTCTCATTGTTCGGACTGTGTGGAGGGGGAGTGGGTGCCTGAAGCCCTCAGCCTCGACACACTCGGCCAATGCCGCCCTGCAGTCCCTGATCTCCATGATCTGGTGCCCCACGAGTCCCCCCTCTCAAGCCAGCCGTTCTCAGAGCCCGCCCCCTTTACCCACTTCCGCTCTCACCCTGGGTGGCGCGGGAGGTGGGCGCAGGCGGCCAGCGCCGCGGCGGCCCCCACTGGGTCCAGCCTGGCCAGGTCGTCTGCCCGCACGCTGTCCGCCAGGAGCTGGAGGAGGTCCAGCAGCTCAGGCGCCGGGGCGCCACCGGGCGTGCGCCGCGCCAGACGCCCCAAGGCCTGCAGCAGGCGCGCCCTGTCCCCCGGCCCCAGCGCGTGCAGGCGCGAGCGCATGGCGACGGACAGCGCGCGCAGCGTGTGCCGATCGACCGGCTCGCCGGCCGCGTCGGCCGCCGCGCCGCTGGTGCAGACGCACAGTGCCAGGCCGGCGGCGCTCAGGGCACCCAGCGTGCGCAGCGCGGCGCGCGCCAGCGCGTCAGCCAGCCCCGGGCCGCCGCCCCAGTCCAGCGCCTGCAGCGCCCAGGCCGCGCGCTCCACTTCCGGCGCGGGCGCGCTTTCCAGCGCCGCGGCCAGCGCGGCGCCCAGCGCGGCGCGCACGCCCGGCGGCAGGCCCCCCGGCCGCGCCTGCAGGCCCGCCAGTGCGGCAAAGAGGGCGGGCGCGCGCGCGCCCAGGCGGGAACTCCCCTGCTCTGCGGCGAGCAGCTGCGCGGCTGCTGCCACGAAGCCGCGCACCTCCAGCCCCGCCTGGCCCAGGACGGCGGGGGAGCGCTGGGCCAAGCTGGCCAGGGAGCACAGCGCGCGCAGCAGGGCGTCGTGCGACGTCCTCGGCGCCAGGCGCGCCAGCGTGTCGGCGGCCACGGCCACGAAGGGGCCGGGCCGCGCATCATACCCCCAGCGCGCAAAGCAGGCCAGCAGGCGGGACAGGTCCTCCCCGCTCCACTCCTGCGCGCTGTGCACGACGCGGCGCTGCAGCGCCTGCAGCAGCCCGCGGTGGCGTGGGAAGCCGCCCAGCAGGCGGCAGTACGCCTCGGCCAGCCTCGCCAGCTGGGGAGGGGGGGTGGCGCGGACCTGGCGTCGTGCAGCCTCCACCAGTCCGTCCCTCAGCGTCTCGTCTGACGATGGGGAGGGGGGGGGGGGAAGGAGGGGTGATTTGAACAGAGTGCGGCGGGTATCAACATGGGAAAGCACGGATACCAGCATCATCCATGGGAAGCCTTGACAATGACCGTCTGCATCCCCAACCCAACCCATCCGTGCAAAGTGCGGCCTGACCACCCCGAGAACTCTAGGGAACCCCACCCAAAGGAGGCACACCCACCGGGGACGTGTCTGAGGTGGAGCAGGGCCCCGGCCAGGGTGCACAGGTCTGGCGCGCAGAGCCCGATGCAGCGCGTGCCGATGTGGCACGCCAGCCGGGAGATGAGGCTGGGGGAAAGGTCGGGCCAGGCTGCCAGGCACCGCAGCGTGCACAGCGCGTCCAGCGCGTCCAGCTGGTCGATCCTGGCGTCCAGGGTTGCCAGCACCAGGCCCACCGACCCGTCCTCCCACCTGCCAGCCTGAGGTGGCGAGGGTCTGTCAGGTGTCAGGCTCGGGGGACTGGGAGATGGAATATGCGGCGTGGCATGGCCTCCGCTCCGTCCACGTGCAGTCCCATGAGGGATGAATGGGAAAGGGGGCTCTGCGGCGCCTGGCAGCATCGCAGGCTCCCCACATACCCCCCTTTGGCCCCCTTCCTTCTCAATCCGACACACCTTGATGAGCAGGACCAGGAGCTTGGCCAGCGCTGCGGCCTGCATGGCATGGAGGCCCGGCAGGCAGCGGTCCAGGGCGTGGGAAAGAAGGGCGCCTGCCTGAGGCCCGTCGCAGCCCAGCACGCACAGCGTGTCAATGGCCGCGCAGGGATCGAAGGCGGCGGGGGGCAGCTGCGCCGCACGGCGCCGCAGGGCGGCGAGCAGGGGTCCTACTTGGGTCCCGCCGCCCTGCACCGCCCCCGCCGCGGCGGCCAGCCTCGCCAGCGCCGGCGCATCGAGCGAGGTGGCCACGCGCATGCCCAGCTCCACGAGGAGGGTCAGCAGCTGGTGCCGCGTCTGCGCCTTGCATGTGCTGGGGCTGGGGCGCAGGAGGCCCCGCTCGGCAGCGGCCTGCCAGGCCAGGGGGACCAGGCCCGTGACCAGGAGCCGAGCCTGGGACCTCTTCAGCAGGCGAAACAGGGAGCTGGCGCTGGAGCAGCCCGCGATCTCATCCTGGAGGCGGGATATGGCCTCCACGTTGGGCTGGAGGGGTGGAGAGGGGCCACCGGGTGCTGGCAGGGATCCGGCATGCCGGGGAATGGGGGGTGCCGAGCAGGCTCGACTTGATTGGGAAAGATGGAGTCTGTGCACGTCACCACGGCAGGTTTCCTTCCGAAAGGAGCATTGAGGGGTTTTATGCACCCGACACGGCGCCCCGGCTCCGGCAGTGGCCCAGGCCACCATCACCTCGACCTCCGGGCACGAGGCATCGGCGGGGCGGGAGCTCTGGCACGGCGTACTCGCCAATGGCAATCCTGATCCGATGGTTTTGATTCGTTTCTTGATCCCCAAATGTGGTGCTCTATCCCATAAGTGGACATTGGATGGTGATCTCGGGGGAGCGCGCCCTCGTGATCTGGGGTGTCCCAGTTTGATTTGATTTTGGACGTCGCGCCTTCATCTTGGGACCTCAGGAAACCGCTCGTGGAGTGATCCAGAACCATACTGGTGACTGAGTAGCAGGTGTCCAGTCTATGTGAAGTGATTCAAGGACTAGACGGACCTTTGCAAGTCCATCGCATGCGGAAGGAAGCAGGGTCTTGGAACAGATGCCCCTTCTGCGCAAACGAGCTGTCGAGTACGACATCCCTGATGCACATACCCACTTCCAAGATAATGAAGAGGTTCGATTTGGTGTGAGCTACGGTGACCTCAGGCTCGGGCCACGAGGCATCGCCGGGTCACGCTCCAACCCAACCCTATGTGCAGGTGTTCTTGATCCGGAGCACTGGCGAGGTCGTGAGGGAGTATGAGACATACATCAGCAAGGTCAACCTCTACAGGCAGCGCATCTGGACTGCGGCACACACAGGCCAGGGCAAGCTCACGTGGGCCGAGGCAAAGGAGGAAGAGGAGGAGGCCCGAGCAGCCCTCGCCAAGGTACAGGCCTCGTGAGACTCAATGAGGGATCGTGGAGGGCGCACCTCCCGGTGTCCACCTGGGTTTGTATTGGTCCCCTAGGAGGCTCTGGCTGCTCACCAGCTTCTCACGCATCACATTGAACCTCCATCTTCCCCTCCTGCTCAACCCTCCCCCAGATTCCCGAGGATGTTCAAGGCAAATTCGCGGAGCTCCTGCACCTCAGTCTAGGTTCCTTGGAGGAGGCAATCTCTCGGTTGCACGACGGCTGCGGCCCCAGCCCCGCAGCAGAAGTGGCTGAGTCAGGGCCAGATGGAACGGACGGCGGCACTCCCAATGTTTCCTCAAAGAGAAAACCCAAGGCTCCCTACAGCAAATCCCTGCTCCGCGCCTTCATTGCAGAGGTGGGGAAATGCACTCCCAGACTTTGGTGATCTGGGACGTGATTGCAGCCCTGCAAATCAGTGATGGGGTGACCGAAGGCCTGCCAAATTGCTAGCTGTGGACACCTTGTGGCAAAGGCTTGACGACCCCATGACCACAACCTATTCTGGCTGGGCACGACTGCAGGCTCCATCACCTACAGACCACAGCCAAGGGGGACAGTGCGTCACTGTCCCTTGTTGTGGCGTGTTTGGCCCCGGGCCCAGCTCAGCCTGACCGCACAACCTCCTCCCCTGCCGTGCAGAATGCAGAGTCGGTGAAGGGCCCGGCCGGCAGGCCCCTCCTCTGGAGACTGAAGCCTGAGCTCAGCGACACGCTGGGCCTCTCCCATGCCCTCCCAGAGGGCTATGCAGCCGAGCTGCTCCCCCCTGCAGTCAAGTCCCCGGGCCAGGCGGCCGATAAGGGCCCTGCCTCGACCTCCGGACTGCTAGCGCCGGGGTCGCTGGCTGCATCGCCGTCCACAGCCCCCGCCAAGGAGTTCCTGACAGCAAAGACGCTGGAGGTGGGTGATTATGGCGATTTGTTCGAACTAAAGACACAAGTACCCAGGCCCGAGTCCCTGCAGCTCATGTCCAAAACTCATGCTGTGACAGGAACTGGATGGTCTATTTCCCGATGGCAGCCTGAGGGCTGGACTGGTCAAGGTGTTTAAGCATGCAGGGCCTGGAGGCCTCACGAGCTCAGGTGCGGGCTGCACGTCTGGTCTGTGGGAGGATGCTGTCGCCTGTGTATTGATGCGAGCATTCAACATGGAGCTTGGTGTGAGCTCTCTTGCTGTCATTCTGGCCCTTGTGTTCCGGACTCGTTTTCCAAGTTTCTATGCAGCTGTTGTCCACGCCCTGGAGCTGGCTATTGCACCTCAACGCCATTCCTCTTTTCCTCTCTGCACAGACATCGCTCAAGTGTACTCCGAGCTCGGCTTGGGAGAGCTCTCTGAGAATCAAAAGAAGTCGGGAATCGCCAAGGTACTACTGGTGACCAGCACCCTGGGACGGGGCGGACTTCCTTGCAGATTTCTGTGAATAGTTAGAGGGCAACAGAGTATGGTAGAAATCCATGGACACCAGTCATGATGTTCCCTGTACAAGGAAAGCCATTCTCCCTACACATCCCAGGTTCTGACCAAGGACCCCAACTTTGTGCGGCTGGACAAGGGCAAGTACTCTCTGCATGCCTTCCATCCACATCTGGTGGTTGCCAAACCTGTTCCAGGTGAGCATGCGAGGGGGAGCTGGGCTGTGAAGAGTGACATGCTGCGGGCAACATGTTTGGAGACAGCTACGTTTTCTTTTTCACAACGGCACCACTCCTGCCATCCACTGATGGTCCATTGGCGGGACGTCAAGCCTTAGGACTACCCCTGCGCCATATCCTGCCCTTGAAACACGACCTCACAGGGGAGGGACGAGCTCTGATCCAGACAAAGCTCACCCCAGGGCTGGAGCTCTCTGGGAAGCAGGGAAATATGGCCGAGTCCAAGGGTCTAGACTGTGACACCACCACCTGCAAGCCTGAGGTTGGTGCCTTGCACAGTGCCTGGGTCTATGAGTCTTGTGGGGGATGTTGGTCGTCTGGAATTACAAGAGTATCGGACGATGGGATTGCGAGGTGTGTGATGGGGCAAGAAGATTGGTGCCATATCATGCACTCTATCCCAGCCATGATAAGGCAGGTCGGGCCTGACAGCCAAGGTGCTCTGCAGCCGTCGGTCTCTCCCCAGCTGCAGCTAGCTCTTTGGACCACTCTCCCTTCACCCGCCGTCCCTGAACTCTACAGGGCGAGGGCAGGGTGTTGAAGCAGGCGCAACTGGCACTGAGCAGGCGGCGGGATGACCTAGCAGCTGCCGAGAAGGAGCTGGGGCGCAGGCAGGCCGACCTGGCCGAGGTGAAGAAGGAGTATCGCCGCAGTCCCGGGCGGCGATCCTCCCAATTTCATGGTGCGGTCATGGGATTTGGGACGAATCATGCTCCTGGGCTTACAAGCCATGGGGGAGGGGGAGCGAAGCACACTATAGCAGACTTTTCAAATCAGGATGAGAAACCCAGAGCATACAGCCTCTGTTTGCTGATTGCTGTACCGGGCAGCGAGGAGGCCGCCGACTGTAGAAGCTGCATGGGCAAGAGTCCTCCTTTCCCCCTGCCCACCGCGCAGTGCCTGCATCGGCGCTCGTGCGCTTTGAGATCACCGAGCAGGAGCGGGAGTATGCCGGGGACCCAGATGACCGCAAGGCCATGATGGAGCACCGGCAGGTGCTTCAAGCGCGCGTGCGGGAGCTGGAAAGCGAGAAGCAGGCGTTCCTGAAGGAGGAGAGGGCCAAGCACGAAGCTGCACTGGAGGACGACATGGCAGCCGTGCGTGTAAGTGACTGTGCCAGGGCGATCTAGGGGCCTGGGGGCTGTGGCTGTGGCAAAGAAGGGCAAGGGAGATTGGCTTGACTGCGTGGCTTACTCTGTGTGGTCTGGGTTTGTGAGACTGTGCAGGCAGGGGATGGGTTTTCGAGATCATAAGGCCACTTTGCGTGCAGTCACTACCCGCTGCGGCTCCTTCCTGAGCTCAGGCCATGGAGGCGGCCGTCGCAGCGGCCGCTAGGGTCGTCGCCGCGACTCAAAAGGCGGTGACCTCTGCTGAGGCTGCTGTGAACCAGCTGCTGAAAAGGAGTGCAAAGTGTGTGAGGATGGGATGGGGGGAGGGCGGTGATCTTAATGGGTTCTTGTCTGACCCTATATGGTGCAAAGGGTGATGATTTCATGACCTGGACCGCAGCAATGTCTGTCAGTCAGGTGACACCCTCGTCCATGTGTGCAGTCAGGATCAGCGGACGGCTGCCCAGGACATCAAGGCCAAGGAGAGGGAGCTGCGAGAGAAGCAGGTGCAGGCTTGCCCTTGTTATGAGTCTGCCTGTGAGGTCTTGGTGTCGGTCTGCGAGCCCAGCTTGGCGCGAGATTCAGTTCGCATTCAGGCATTCATGATCCTGCGCTTTGTTTGTCCTCCCTCCAGCGTGCCGCGGAGCGGGCGGAAAGGGAGCGTCAGAAGGCCCTGGCCAAACGCTATCCCATGGAGGACCTGCAACTCCTGGCCGAAAGCCAGGCGGAGGCTGCCGCCCAGGGTGCGAGCCGAGCCTTTGGATTATGCGACCCGGTCAGGGTGTTGTGGGCGGGTGCTGCAGGAGCAGCAAAGCAACGGCAACTGATCTGCATTTTTCAAGCAAGGGCAGGACCAGACGCCTTCCTCCTGAACACCTCCCAGGGAAGCCTTGTCCTTCCTCCGACATGGTCCAGCCCCCCTGGCTGGATGCTGAGGAGAGCCAGCGGGTGACGACCCTGCTGTACATCCTGGACACCCTGCAGCAGTTTGGAAAGATTCTGGACGTCAGAGCGCCGCCCCTCCCTGAGTCGGCGGCCCTCCTTGCCCCAGGTGGCGAGGGAAAGGGCGGGACGGGGGTGGAGTGCTGTGCTGAGGATGTCCAGTGCCACCCACTCCACTCGTGGCACCGGGCCTCGCATGTCCAAACCTTTCTGGTGGCGAACACTGAGCGATCTCACTGCATGCATGCCTGTGCAATGACCTTTCCGGCCTTTCACTCTGACGAACCCCCTAACACACAATCGCCAGGCTGGTCTGGGCCCCAGGAGATCAGTGCTGGCTGCAATAGCTCATGCACACCGCACAGCCTGTTGGCTGGTGTCTACCACTCCATGCTCAAGGTATGGATGCTGTGATTATGTGTTCATTGTGGGTGAACCCTCCCCTCCCAATGCCGTCCTGGAGGACATGGGCACTGCTCCCTCGGGGGATGCCAGGGCGCTGCAGGCTCATACATCCCCTCGGCAGAACTGCCGGGGCACAAAAGAGATCGGCCCCCCATTCCCACCCTGCAGGCGCTGCTGGCAGACCTGCGAGACACCGATGCCCTGGGGCCCCAGGAAAAGCGCTGGACGGCGGTGCTTTCCTCCGCCACCTGGCCTGAAGTGCTGCGGCGCATGGTACTGACGTGGCTGCAAGACCCCGACGCCCATCCGTGAGTGGGGCGCTTGATCGCAGACCAACCAGCGGCAGATTGAGCTGCGTATCGTGGGAACGAGTGCGATGGAAGGTCGCCCCAGGCATTCTTGAGGGCGCTGCGATTGTTCAGGGCTCATTTTGCCCAGAAACGGTCCTCCCCTCCAACCTTCTGCCCCGTGTGCTAGCTCAGGTAATTCTCAAAACCCCAAACCCCTATGATCCCCACGTTCCAGGCGCGTGGACGAGCATGCTGCCATGGCGGCCTCCATGCTTTCTTTCGAGCCAATCGTGGGCCTGGGCCCCGACCGCCACCTTGCCCTCCTCCGCTGGCTGACGGACGCGCTGCTGGAAACCCAGAAAGTCCGCTCGGCGATACAGAGTGAGAGGGCATGGTTGTTTGGGGCATGGGCGCCTACAGGGTTACCAGGCAGAGCGATAGTGGCCGTGGCTGTGTTTATTGCCTTTCTTGAGAAGGCTAGCTGTTCACCTCAAGTGTGAATGACACATGCTGCATCGCAGAGAGGGAGGAGACGGCAGAGGACGTCAAGCGAGGATTCAGGGACGAGATGGCGGAGGAGCGCCGACACCTTAAGGACCTTCTGGAAGCCGGTGCGGGGTTGTGATGCCTGTAGGGTTGTTCCAGCTTCTCATGCGATGGGCACCCTGGTGTGCCTTGCCCATGCTGCCAATGTCCTTGCCTTCTTGCTCCCTCATCGCTCTGCAGAGAAGGAAGCTAAGAAGAAGAGGAGGGAGGAGGCTGGCCCCGACACGGAGGTGGGGAGGGAAATGTCTCAGCACCGATGCCTGCAGCATGGGGGCTCACTCCCCTCACCTGTCCACCCCTACCTTCCCCACTTCCTAAAAATCCTGAGGACCGTCCCACCAGCCTCTCATCTCGCTTTATCCTCCGCACAGGGCCAGACGCAGGGGGCCGGTGACACCAAAGACGCCGATGCAGGGGGTGCCGCGCCCTCCCTCGAGCTCCCGCCCGAGCTGCAGGAGTACAGCGGCGACCCCGACGACCGGAAGGCCATGCTCCTGTTCCGCCAGGCACAGCAGACCGAGCGCCGGAGGCTTGAGAAAGCGCGCGACAAGTGGCTGGGCGCGGAGCTGCGGCGCCAGCGGGAGCTCGAGAGCAGGCTGAAGGAGGAGGTGGGTGGGCTGGTGGGGGAGGCTTGCCTGCTCCCTGCTCCCGCGAAGGTTGGGTCCATGCGTGAAGCGGTCTTCAATGGTCCCATCCTTGACCCAACCCCTCTCCCTCGGCTTGGTACAGAGGGAGGCGGAGCGGGCCGCTCAGCACGAGATCGCTGCCGCCGAGGACGCCCTGGCAAGGTGCTGGGAGGGTGTGAGGGTCTGTCCTGCCAGCCTGTGAAGAGTTCGTTCCCACTGCCAGCCACCAGTCGAGAGGAGGAAGCTGTGGTGGACTTGTCTGCCCTCCGAACCTCCTGCCGAGCCCTTAACCCTGCCTCCACCTCGCCAGGTTGCAAGACTCCCAGGAGCAGCAGCTGGAGAGGCTGCAGCTGCGCAGGTCCCCCCTAGGCCTGGACCGGCACCATCGCTCCTACTGGTACGGCCTGGCAGGCCTGCGCTCCTGCCTGATGGTGCAGGATGCAGAGGTGCGCGGCATGGATCGTGCTCTGGAGGGCGTCGGGATCGCTGCTGCAGGGGCCTCTCTGGATTGCGCAGCCTGGCATCCCCGCACCGCACACGTTCCCCGACCCTCCCCCCGCCCCACGCTTCAACTTCCCACGCCCAGGGCTGCTGGGGCTGCCTGACGGACCTCGACACCCTGCTCTCCGGCCTGGACGCGCGGGGCCTCCGGGAGGGCGGCCTGCTGGCCTGCCTGCAGAAGCAGGCCGCCGTGCTGGCCGCCCGATTCCGGCGCAGCAGCGCCGCCGCGGCGAGGACCGACGAGGCGCGGGCGCCAGACGCGCTCGCCCCGGCCGCCCCGCCGCCCGTTGCCCAGCGCGCCTCCTCACGCCAGCACCAGCCGGTGCTCGTCTACGACGCCCACCGCGGCACCGCCCACCCGGCCGGGCGGGCGGCGCCCGACGAAGACGGCGCGGGGTCAGACGCCGGGGTTGCGCAGCCGCAGGCCTCCCTGGTGGCCCTGGTGGGGAGCGTGGGCGAGGCCCAGGCCTTCCAGGTGGGAATTTGGGGGAAAGCAAACAAATCGAGTCAGCAATACGATTCTCTGGCTCTGGGGTAGCCGAATCGGTTGGGGAGGCCACTCGGCAGAGGTCGAGCACCATGTGTGTGCCATCCATGACCCCTCTGCTCCCCACACCTGCTACCTGGAGGCGCCCAGGCATCGCACTACCCTCCCTCAACCCCCACCCACAACCCCACGCAGGAGCTGTGCTCCTCGCTGCTGGGCCTGGCCGCCGCGGCGGCCGCCGGGGGCATCACGCTCTGCGCCGAGGCGGAGGCCGCCGATCCCAAGGCCGGCCTGGCAACCTTCGCCACCGGCCTCCGCCAGGTGGCGAGCGGCGAGGCCGGGGCCGTGCCCACGCTGGCCACGTTGCGTACCGGGATCCAGGGCCGGCTGAGGGGCCTGGAGGCCGCGCTTTCCAGCGCTGCGGCCCTGCACCCCGTGGCCGACGGCGAGGGGTCGGCCTCCGAGTACAGCTCCGACTCAGGCGTCGAATCGGAGGAGGAGGCGGAGCCGCTGGCCGGCAGGCCTGCCACACCCCTCCACCGCCGCAAGGTGCGTGGATGCTGGGGGCTGCTGCCGCTGGCCTGTGGCACAGAGGTCCAAGTAGTGATGGACACCCTTCGGCAGGCCCCTAACCCCCACCATTCATCACGCCACGCCCACCACAGGGAATCGCGCGGGTGAGGGAAGTGGTGGACGACCTGTTCTCGCCCACCAAGCAGGCGCGGGAGGTGACGTCTCGCCTCTGGCGCCGCGCCTCGGAGCGCGCCTCCTGGTCCAGCGACCTCGGGGGCAGCTTCACCGCGGCGCGCCTCGCCTACTGCACCGCGGTGCTGGCCCTCCAGGCCCAGCCGCTGCTGAAGCACCTGGAGGCTGACAAGGCGGGACAGGCTAAGCAGGCGGCCCCTGAGGCGGCCGTGAAGCCGCGGCCGGCGGCCGCGCGGCTGGTGGGCGCCAGGGACAAGAGGAAGCCGTCCGTCGCTCGCGAGGGGCGCGTCACCCGCTCCCGCGCCGCCTGAGGACGCGGACGGCCAGGAACTCTGATGGGCATGACGTGCTGCGCCCTTGTTGATGGCTTGGGCTCCACCCGCGCCCATCTGTCCCTTACCGCTGCCCTGTCGGGCTTGAATACAACAGGGCCTCACTCAACGCTCTGATAGTGTATGCAGAAACAGCTCATGGAGGTGCTCCAAGGTCACCACCTCCCTGGCCCAGCTCTGCCTCGGCCAGCCTGCGCCTCAGTGTCCTGACCTCGGCCCACGCCCGCCGCAGCTCGGAAGCACAGGCAGCTGCCTGGGGTTGGAGGAGTCAGGCACGAGGGTGTCACAAAGGGTTTTAGACCAGGGGCACACACCACACGCTCCCGCACCCGACTCTCGCCGCCCAACCACCCACCCGGCATCGGTACAGCGCCCCCTGCCTGGCCCCGCGCGCGGCTGCGAGGAGCCGGCTGCGGAGCCCAGCGCGCTCAGCGTGCAGCGAACGGAGTGCCGAGCGGGCGGCCAGCAGCGCCAGGCTACGCTCCTGCCCTGCTCTCGAGTCGCCCCCTTGAGCTGCCTCCAGCCAGTCCGCCACCTGCAGCAGCAGGTCTGCCAGCTCAGCCCCATGCTGCGTCTGTACCGCCAGTTCTTCCTCCAGGGCAGCCACAGTCGCCTCATACTCTGCTGCCAGGGCTGCCCAGGGGGGATCGAGTCTTGGGATGGACCTGTGGGGCCACGCCAGGCTGAGGGGTTTTCACCATGCGGATGTGGTGAAGGGAGAATTAATGCACAGGGGCGCAGAGGGGCGCCAAACGTCAAGTGGTCCTGCTGTACTGCACAGGCGGCACTCACCCAGCAGGATCTTCCACTGACATGCTGGCTTTGTCAAGTGGAGGCCCGCTCTTCCTGGCCAGCTGCCCAGCGCAGGGCTTGCCTGACACGGCAGGCTTTGACTGCGGGCCACAAGCATCACTGTCATGGCATTCCCATGGCTCAACACCATTGGGCTGGCCTGACACGGCTCCTGGCGGCACCATTTCACCCTGCACAGCATTGGTCCAGTCTTCACCACACCACAGACATGGGCCTGGACCCTCCTCTCCGATGTGCATCACATCAGCGGCATCCTGATAGGACATGAGATTCTGGGTTGCCACATATTATCTCAAGGGGCATGGTGCCTCTGAAAAGGTAACAAAGATAGCTCCCAAAAGGGAGTTCAAGACCGCAAAGGAGCACATACCCAAGTCACCAAATCTTATTCGATGTTTATTGTATCCGACACGCCCTGAAACTGGGACTCGCCTTGAGGCTTCAAGCTTTCTGGACCGGGAGCGAACTCCTGTTTCGAAAGGTTGACTCAGATCTCTCGGAGGCGCGACACTCCTCGACAGGGGACGACTGGTACAGAAATGCACTGCTGTATTCGCTGTGGGGGGCATTCTGAAGTCGTCACACGTTGAAGGCAGGTTTCACCTTGTCTCTTGTAGTTCAGATGATCAAGGCCCCTGTCTCTTGTGCCAGGGCTCGCTGCTGTACCCGCACCGCGTGAAGTCACGCGCAGGCCCGCCATGCCCAGAACATCGGCATTGACCTTGTTTTGCATCCTCATTCTTTCACCATTGACTCGTGCAAGCCGTCAGCTCCTTGCTCGGTGCGCCCTTGGGCTGGTCAGACGCTTGTACCTCCCCCTACCGGAAGTGCCTGGATCGCCACAATTTGCCACGATCACTCCTTGTGCAGGGACATACCCTTCAGGAACCTAGCAACATGTCAGAATACAAAGTCTGGAAGGTGAGCCTCCAGTGGCGGTGTCATGAGAAGCTGGCTGGAGGGTGGCACACGGCCCTTGCCGTTAGATCCATCGAGAGCAAGACCAAGGATGTGATCACGGTCCTCCCCTCGCTTCACTCAGGGACTTCCTGGCAGACGACGGCGGCAGGGTGTGCCCGCGGGATGCAATTGACTCTTCTACGGGGTGCTGCCCCAAGGGACGGACCCATGTCTGCGATAGGTACGGCCATGGGGCTGAAGGACCGGAGGCCATGGCTGGGGCCTTGCGCTGGTCCCCAGAGTACCACGCACATTGACCTTCCATGTGTACCCTCCGCGCCCATTCAACCTTGCAGCTGCCACGATGGCGATCGCTGCTGTTCACTGTATGAGGAGTGCGTGTCCTGCTGCCTGAGCCCCTTGCATGAACCCCAGACCCACCTCCAGCGGCTGTACAGGGGAGCTGACAGGTGAACTGGGCGGTGACTTGTTGTCGGGTGCTTGGCGCCTGCATGCCTCTGTCGGTCTGTCCAATCCAGGGCAATGTGCTCATCCGCCTCACATGCCTGATCACTCATTCCCTCCCAGACCCGAGACGGGCAGATGGGAGACGGTGTTCCAGGCCTGCCAGGCTGCTTGCAGGACCAGCTCGCACAGCACGCTGCACGAGAACGCCTTCATCGCGCTCCGGAAGCACTGCTACTCCGACACAGGTGTGGGCATGCGAGGGAATGGGAGGGAGGTCCAAGTCCTTGGCTTGCAGGGGGAGCCTGTCGAGGGGCGGGAACGCTTTGCGTTTCAATCTGGGCTACCGTTCGTCGTCAAGCTGTGACCTGGTGTATGGGCACACAGCACACGTTCCTCCCTGAAAACAGGCCGCCCCAGGGTGGGAAACACGACCCTGGCGGGGGCGGGATCTGGCTCGGAGCAGGGCTCATCTCCCCGACTTGTGGCGGGTGGGGTGGGCCAGTCCTGTACACAGGCCTGCGCCGCCGGCCGGGGTGTGTGCGTGGGAGACGGCGGCCCGATACCTGCCGCCCTGCGGGACTGCGACATCCTGCGCGACCACTTTGGGTGTGAGGCTGGTGAGTGGGAGCAGGTGTGGAGGGGGGAGGCGTCGTGGGTTGAGGTAGATGGGGCAGCCTGGCTGCCGCCGTTTCCTCAAGCACACAGGCCCGAGCCAGACCTCCGGCAGCGGAATCGGCCATCATGCAAGTGTCAGCCGGGGATCCCTGCATCATCCCAGCCGCACATCTGGACCCACTGATCCCCACCAACACTGCTCCCAGGCTGCGCCGCGTCACCGTTGGGCGGCGACGTGCACCCAGCGTACATCAAGCCCAAGGCCCCGACATGGCAGCTGCCCACCATGTGCATCGCGCCGGCAGCCTCCAGCGCAGCCTTCAACTGCAGCGCCGCGTCGGCCGCGGTCCAGCGGCTGTGCCCCTGCAACGATGCGGAGCCGCCGCTCCCAGACACTCAGCATGCTGCGGGCGGCTCCATGTGAGGTCAAGAAGAGGTGCCCATGCCTGGCGTGCAGAGGGCGGATTGGGTGGAGGATGCAAGGACGACGTCGAGGCACAGCGCTGGGAGTGAGGAAAGCTACCCTGCATCTCGGAGCCTGGGCGAGCAGGAGCTAGCATTTGGCAGGTTTTTGTTCCTGGCACTCCCACAATGGTCGCTGCATGCGGTGTGCAGCTCCAACATCACTGATACCGCCTGACGCTTTCCTTGTCCTGACCATACCAGTGCATCTCTCTTGCCCAATCCATAACTGGCAATCATCTGCACCACCCGAATCGTAATGAACCAGGCATCAAGTGTTCCGTTCGTTTTGGAAGCAGTGGTGATGAACGGGCTGACCGGCCTGCATCCCAACGGTGGCAACAGGCTTGCACAATCCGAGGATGAAGCTGACGATCGGATCGCCCGACCTGGACAGATGTGAGTGGGTTAACCCCGGCAGCACTGCGCCTTGGACGGGGAATGTCCGCCTTCCAGGCGTGTACATCACACTAAACCAAGTATTCAACATAATCGCTCAGCCATGCCCACCCTCGCTCGCCCGAGTCGATGGGATCGCCGCGACGGCCCCATTCGCCTGAATGCCGACGCCATGAACCATTGGCTCCGCCTGCGCCACGCCTTCCCCGCCCCGCGCACCGACGGCCTGCTGAGGCTCGAGTTGGGGCTTGATCTGAACCTGAGGCAGCCCAAATCGCGGCCTGTACCCTGGGCCAGCTGCCTGCTCAAAGTGAGCGCTGCATGGGGTGCCTGGTTCTGCCTGCCACCATTACCCCAGGACCAGGCACAGCCTTTCACACCGCCGGCTCCACGCCGCCGCACAGATCACCAAGGGACCCCTCGCCCCAGGAGCCATCGAGGTCAACCCCTACTGGGCCACCTACAACCGGTCCTGGGTGGTGGCCAGGGGCAGGCTCCCCCTCGACGCCAAGCTCGGCGCGTGCTGGGATGGTGCGTTGCGCGGAGGCTGGGTGCGGGATGGCGAGTGGGGATTGCCAGACTCCGCACCAACACAAAGAGTCACGCTGCTCCTTGATGCAGAGCGCACCCCATGCATGATCCTGTCCAGCTCCACTCCCACCTGCTCCTGCACCCAGGCACTCCCCACGTGGAGGTGGGAGTGGGCAGCCTGCCCATCATCGCGATCGCAGCGGCCGGCATGCTGGTGGCCGGCAAGCCCATCCGGGTGACGCGCAAGGAGGTCGGGGGCTGGCGCCTTCACCTCGGCCTCCCCCGGCAACGAGCTGCCGCTGGCGAGCCGTACACTCTGGAGCCGGCGGTGAGGGGGCGCTGCATGCTGGGAGGGAACGGTTGCGCCACGCGACCCTGCTCCAAGGCACCTGGGTTCACCAGGAGCAGGTGCGCGCTCCCTGGCACCCTTCGCTCACTCGCCTTCCCCCTGCTTCCTTGCCCAGCTGGAGCTGGATGCCGGGGTCCAGCGTGTGGGCAGGGCCCTGGAGCTGAGCCTGGGCCAGCTCAGCGCGGTGTTGCGAGTTTCCCAGTGACTGCGGAGCTGATGTGGCGCTGAGCCCCCCTGACTCCCTCACCGTGTCCCTCATGACCGCCGCCGAGGAGCCTTCCCACCAAGGTTGGCGGGCCAAGCCATCGTCATGCTGGCTAGGAGTGTCCCCTGCACTGCCTCGACTGTCATCCGCCATACGCTTTCTGGCTCCCAACTGCCTCGCCTACCTTGCCCATGTGCAGCCATGCGCGTGGTCCTGCCCTTGACGCCACTCTCTGCACTTGGTCTACCATTGTTGACAGTATTGCATGGTGGGGTGGAGGGATGGTCAGTATCAGCCGAGCCCCATCCCTCAGTGTGACTGCCTTGCCCTGAGGGTGCCGACAGTTGCATGCCCAGGAGCGTGACCAGCACACCCTCTCGCCGGCAAGCTCCATGGCTACTGGGACCCCGTTCATTTGTCTCCAGGGCCTGCACTCTCGGTCCCAGCCCTGCGACGCATGCGCTCCTGCCACCCAGCAACCCCTGCCGCCCACGGGCGCGCTCACTCGCCCCCTGGCTGCATGGGGTAGACGATGGACACGATGGTGAGGGCCAGCACTCCCACGCAGAGCCCCACCAGGCCCAGCCCCGCCCACCACAGCTTGGAGGTGAGGAGGCGGTAGGGGCGCGGCGGTGGCGCCTCGCCCCGCGCCACCAGCAGCGGCTGCTCCACCACCAGGGGAATGCGCGAGGCCAGCGCCTTGTCGCTGGCGTACTTCATCAGCAGCGCCCCCGGCAGGCCCAGGATGAGGAAGGCGCCGTTGGTCCCGCCCACCACCTTGAACACCTGGCCCAGATCGCTGACGGCCAGGGCCACGGCCAGGGTGGCCAGGTAGAAGCCGGCGGCATGCGCGAAGTTGAAGGCGGCGCTGTCGGGGCGGTGCCCCGTCAGCGCGGCCACCACGTCCTGGGTGCAAGTGCGCGCCGGGTGGTGGTTGATGGGGTAGGACACCACCTTCATCAGGCCCACCAGCGCGCGGCAGAGCTGCATGAGCCCGTCGCGGCGCGAGAAGTTGTTCAGGATATTGCTCTGGGCCGAGTGGGGGAAGGCTAGGTAGCCGGTCAGCCCGATGGCGCTGTACCCCGCCGCCGTCAGTCCAACTGGGGAACGTTGGGTGTCGAGGGACTGGGGTAGGGGGAATGCTTGAAGCGCACAGTAAGGGCACGCCCAAGCCTCGTCACCATGGTAGGTAAAGAAGCACAGTCCCCTCGTCAGCTGAGGCCCCACACTCACTCGCGGCCATGACCACGCGTCGCATGCCGCGCAGCTTCCGGCTCTTCCTGCTCTGGCGCGGCCCAGCCTCGCTCTCAGTCTCGGCCCCTGTGCCGTCCGCAACTCCGTCCACCACCGCGTCCTGCGCCCCATCCTCCTCCTCGTCGCTGCCGCGCAGGCGGAAGAGGCCCGAGGGGAACAGATTCTTCACCAGGCGCGGCCGCTCCTCCAGCTCGTTGAAGACGGTGATCACCTGGGCGTGGCACTGCATGCCGAAGATGATGATGGGCACCGCGGCCAGGGCGTCCAGGCTCACGTTGAAGGGTTGCACCTCGGCCCAGGGGCTGGGCTCGACGGCGATGATCCCGGCGTTGCGATAGGTCACGATGCCCACCATGGCCACGATGCCGTACAGAGCAACGGCGCTCACGCCTGGCCGGGAGGGGAGGGGGGAAGCAGGAATGGGGGACGTCATGGGAACAGGTTCTGAGGTCGACGGGCGCTGCAGACAAGCGCTTCGTCCGCTTTCAGTGTCAGGGTCCACTCCAAGTGACAAGGGCCATACCCAACAGGGAACCGTTCCACCGCCCACCGACGATGGCATCCAAGGTGCGAGGAAGGCAGAGCGGGAACATAAGGACGGCGGAGAAGAAGGGGAGCACGGCGTTGCGGTGCGTGAACCAGTGGTCGCCCAGGGCGCCCAGCACCAGGGGGTGCAGGCAGTCGCCGAAGATGATCAGGTAGGCGACGCAGGAGCCAAAGAGGTAGACCATGAGCACGCCTGCCAGGAACATGGAGGCACGTGGTCCCAGCATGCGGCGCACCTGGCGGCGAGGCGGGCGGTAAGCGTACGGTGAGTGCATGCTTGTGAAGAATGGATGGAGGGGTATGTTGCTCCACGAACTCCTGGCATGCAAGCTCATGCTATACCCCCCTCAAGCACCCACCACGATGGCGTAGGTCACGGCGTCCGTGTGCTCGGCGTAGCGGGAGAGGACGTACAGGGTGAAGGCCTCCACGGTGGCCACGAAGGCCAGCAGGGCTAGGCCCCCCACCCACCCCGCGGCGCGGAAGGCGTACGGCAGGGACAGTACCCCCACACCCACGCTACTGTTGATCAGCGTCACGATGCTGGACCGTGCGGATGCTTCGCCGGGAGCACCGCTGGAGATGCCCCCGGCCATTCTCCTAGGTCGTGTCGTGGGTTGTCAGGACGTCATACAGGCGCGGCCAGTGCTCGACTCAGACTTGCGCCCTGCTGAGCTCCTGCAGCGCAGCTCGGCGATCGCCCCAGATTCTCGATCGAGTTTTCAAGGGTTTTAACGGGAGCCTGCGGTGGCTGTGCTGTATCCACAGCTGCGGGAGGGCTTCATCGCGGGGCACCATTCCGGATGGGGCCCGGGGCGCGCGAGATTCCGGGAGGCGCGGAAGTGCAGCCTAGGCATCGTTCTGGGAGGCAGACTTCGGAGGGCGATGCCCCCGATCGTGCCTTGTTGGCTTTGAGGCACTGATCAGGGTCCAATGGCGCGGCGTAGCTGGGCCCAAGGGTGATTTGAGCCCCGGCTTCGTGCACTTGATCTGGCGCGATGGCGAGTCTCCCACCGAGCATCACCAACGCCAGCCGGGAACAGCTGCAGCAGTTCCTACTGGACACCCTGAAGAAGCTCAAGTCCAGGGACAAGCGGCTCGAGGAGCTCCAGGCCGCTGCGAGCGCGAGTGCAGCGGAGGTGGAGGGCCTGCAGGCCCGCCTGGTGTCCTCCTCCCGCGAGTCCCAGGCCCGCCTGGATGCCGAGGTGGAGCTCTTGGCCTCCCAGCACGCCCGGGAGTTGAAGGAGGCATCCGCCACGGCCCAGGACCTGGTCGCCCAGCTGGCCGCCCGCGAGCGCCGCGCCGCGCAGCTGGAGGGCGAGCTGGAGGGCGCGGAGGCACGCTGCGAGGCCGCGGAGCAGGCCGCGGCTGAGTCCGCCGCACAGCACGCCCAGGTCCTGGAGCAGGCCGTGCTGGAGAAGGAGGCGGCCGAGGCTGCCGCCGCCCGGCTGCAGGCCCGGCTGGCGGAGGTGGAGACGGCAGCCAGTGAGGCCCAAGCCCCGAGAGCGCAGGATGGCAAGCCTGGGACGCTCCCCTCGGATGCCCCTGGGCCCGAGGCTCGGGCCTCCCCTGCGCCAGACCCCCAGCTCCTGGAGAAGATCGACCTGCTGACCAGCACTGTGTCCGAGCTGGAACAGCGCCAGGCCGAGCTGCGGACGGAGAACGCGCGCCTGCTGCAGACCGAGGAGCAGACCTCCGCCGAGCTGCTCACCCGTCTGGCCGCGGTGTCCAGCGCCAACCGCCAGTCCTTTGAGGCCCTGGGGGAGAAGGAGGGCCTCCTGGTGAGGAGCAATCTTTTATGTTGTGGGAGGATCAAAATGGTTGGCGGCGGATGGAGTGACTCCCTGTAGGGCCCCTGGGAAAGTGGGCCCGCCCCCCGCAACCCCTGTGACCTCCCATCCTGAACCCTGCCTTCTGTTGCTTGCCATTGTTCTCCCTTTCCACACCCTTTTCCAGGCTGCCGTGGACGTTATGCAGGCCCACGTGGCCAAACTGGAGCAGGCGCTGGCTGAGCGGGAGCAGGAAAGCGCGGAACTGGAGTTGTTGCGAGAGCGGCTGGCCGCCCGGGAGGCCACGGCCAACGGCGGGGAGAGGGGAAAGGATGACCCCTCAGAGGCGGCTGCCCTGCGAGCGGAGCTGGAAAGAGCGAAAGAGCGCGTGCGTGAGCTGGAGCTGGAGCTGGAGACCAGCGAGGCGGCGCTGCAGGATCTGCGCACGGCGAGCGCGGCCGAGTCGGGCCGGGCGGGGGACACGCTGTCGGCCATGCGGACCGAGGTCGAGGCCCTCCAGGCCGAGCGGGAGGCGTTGCAGGCCGAGTGCGCTGAGGTGGAGGCGGCCAACCTTCGCCGGGAGGAGCAGTACGCGAAGCTGGAGCGTGAGCTTGTGAGCCTGCAGGCACAGCTGGTGAGCAGGAGCGAGGAGGCAGCGGCGCTGGAGGCGCGGCTGGCTGCGGCCGCCGAGGCCGGGAAGAGCGGCGAAGACGAGGAGGAGCAGGCACTGGCGGACGCCAGGGCGGAGCTGGCGGGCGTGCGCGCTGAGCTGGAGGCCGCGGAGGGCAGGCTGGCGACGGCAAAGGGCGAGTTGGAGGCCCAGACTGCCCAGCTGGCGGCCAGGAGTGGTGAGCTGGAGTCCCGGACCTCCGAGCTGACCGCGGTGAAGGGCGAGCTGCAAGCGGCAGCCTCGGGCCTGGCCGGTGCAAAGGCAGCGGAGGCCCGCCTGGGCTCGGAGCTGGCAGAGGCGCGGCACGGCCTGGAAGAGCTGGGCGCGCGCCTCGCGGCAACCGAGGCGGCGACGGCGGAACAGCGCGCCAAGCTGGACACGCTGGCGGCCGCCCTGGCTGATGCACAGGTGCGGCGACGTGGGTTTGAGTATTTTAGGTATGGATGGGCATACATCCCACTGGCTGGGCAGAAGAGTGCGAGGGGGGGTACTGTGCCAGAGGGCATGAGGTGGGGTGTTTCCAGAAGATGCAAGCGGATGAAGGGATGTGGTCATGTTGGGAGGTAACAGGGCCCCCTCTGCTCCTGGCTCTTTGCTGATTGGGGGAGTTCTGAGTGCATATGCCCCACCCTTGTCCTGAGCAGCTCGCATCCGAGCACTCACCAGTGCAACCCCTAAACACATCCAGTCTTCCCTACCCTCCTGCCTGCCACGCCCTCAGGCGGCAGCAACTTCGTCGGCCCAGAGAGTTCAGGAGCTGGAAGATGCCCTGGCGGGCGCGCGGAGCGCCAGCGCCAGCGGCGACTCGGCGGCGGCCTCCCAGCTTGCCGCTGCGCAGGGCGCCCTGGAAGCTGCGCAGAAGGAGCTGGCGACCATCCGCCGGCAGCAGGAGGTGGAGCGTGGACGTGTAAAGAAGGCCATTGCCGACCTCAAGCGACGGCTGGAGGGGTGAGGGGCTGTTTTGTGTTGAGGATGTGAAGGGGGGAAGTTCCCTGCAGGAGGGTTGGTGTACGAATTGGAGGGCCCAGAGCGGCGCACAGGGTCCCGACAGATTACACCGCAAGGAGTCGGATCAAGGCTGTGCGGCGCTTGTCATCAGGCATCACCAAGCCCTCTACTGCCCTGCAATCACGTCATCACATCGCCGACCATGGCATCTCATCGCCTGTGGACCTTCCCCCACCCAAACAGGGCCACGCAGGAGAAGGCAGAAGTCACCGCGTCGGCCGCCGCCGCCGCAGCCCAGGCCCAGGCCTCGCTGGCGGCCGGCGCGGCCCGCCTGGCGGCGCTGGAGGAGGAGGCGGCGGACGCCTGGGCCGCGCGCGAGACCGCGGCGGTGGAGCTGCGTGAGTACAAGGCCCGCGCGCACGCGCTGCTTGTGCAGAAGGACGCCGAGCTGGCGGGCGCGGCGGCCGCGGCGCGCGAGGAGGGCTCCGCCGCGCTTGCCGAGGCAGAGCTGCGCGCCGAACGCGCCGAGGCCGCCGCGCTGGCGGCGCGCGAGGCGGCGGCGGCGGCGCGCGAGGCGGCGGGCGCGGAGCTGGCCGCAGAGCGCGAGGCGACGGGCGCTGAGCTGGCGCGCCTGCGCGCCAGCCTGCACGAGGCGGTGGACGCGGGTGAGGCGGCGCGCCGCGCCTACGCCCAGCTCCGCCTGCGGTACGAGAGCCTGGAACTGCGCGCCGCAGCGGCGGCCCGCGAGCTGGACGAGGCGCGCGCGGGGGCCGACGCGGCCGCCGACGCGGCCGCCGACGCGGCGCGGCGCCTGGAGCGCAGCGAGGCCGAGCTGGCGTCGACACGCGAGGGCGCCGCCGCCGCGCGCGCGGAGCTGGAAACGCGCGTCGCCGACCTCTCTGAGCGCTTGGAGGCCGAGGCCCGAGAGGCCGCCGCTTTGCGGGCGGCGGCTGCACCGGGTCGGGCGACGGCCAACGGCGAGGCGCGTGGGATTGGCTCGGAGGCGGGCGAGGCGCCGGCCTGGTCCCTGGAGCCGGACGGGAGTGCAGGTGGGGGTAGTTGGCACCTGTATGTAGAGGTGCAGGGATGGGGTTGGAGAGGAGAGGGAGTGACTGAGGGAAGGGGAAAGGAAGCCGCCAAAGGCATGCAGCTGCCATGTGGCAGGAGGTCTCTGCCGCCCTGCTCACCGAGCAACCGTGCCGCCCCCCACTGCAGGCCTGTCTTTTGCGCCGGAGGCCCTCGAAAAGCTGACGGAGCAGCACGCGGAGCTGCAGGCCTCGCAGCGCCGTGTGGACGAACTGGAAAGGGTGAGCGGGTCGGTGTCGTGGCTGGGAACCTTTTTGGGATTGTTGCAGGCGGGTCGTGAGCGTCAGGCCAAGTCGATGGTGGATGGCGTGCAATATGGCCCCTTGTTCTCGATTCCTTTTGCTCCCAGGAGGCCATCGCATGCGGAGTGAGCGCGCCTCGCCAATCTTGCGGCCAACCCAGACGCCTGCCTGGGCCATTTGTCCACTCAGTAACCCATTGTTTTACGCTTTCCACCCACGGCGCCCCAGGAGTGCGCCGACCTGGAGCAGGAGTGCGCCCTGAGGCAGGAGCAGGAAGCTGCCCTGAAGGAGACCGTGCGGGAACTGGGCCGGGAGCTGGAGCGCCTGCGTTTGTCCGGCAAACAGAGTGAGGCGTGGAGTTTGCGGTGTTTGCGCATCAGATGCAGGCCAGGCGGCTGGCGCTGCCGGCGGTGCTTGCGTGGGATCTGGGGCCCCCTGTTCACACCGGGCATGGGCTACCTAAAACCCCCCCGTCCCCCCTCCCTCCCTTCCCGTTGCCGTGTAGTGGACATGGAGTACTTCAAGAACGTCATGCTGAAGCTGTTTGAGACGGGGGAGGCCGGCAGCCTGCTGCCGGTGGTGGCGACCGTGCTCCGCTTCTCGCCGGAGGAGCTGGAGCGGTGCAGGAAGGCCACCGCGCAGTGGGGGACAGGGCACGCCAACCACACGCAGAGTGCGTCGCAGGGGGGTGGGGAGCAGCGAGGCGTGTTTCGTGTGGATCCAGCACGGCGCTGTGCACACACCATCGCACGCTGTGTGTGGGATTTCTCCAGAAATCCCAGCTGGCATGACAGCACCTCAATCCAGCCCCATCAAACCTCCTGCGCAGACGGCGCAGACGCCCCCTCGCTCCTCTCCGGGCTGACATCCTGGCTGGGATCCGGATCTTGAAGCGGCCATTACCCCTTATCCTTGCCGGCCCCGGTTGAGGTCTGTCATACTTCTGACCAGCCTGGCCATTTCCGAAAAACACTTGCTACTCTTCACAAGCACTGTCAAGGATGGGACACCGTCAAGGATGGGACACTGTCAAATCCCCGCTTGCACCATCAGCCCCAGCTTCTCGCTGGTCTGGCGCTCAACTCCTTGTTACTGGGTGTTTGGCAAGGTTGTAACCTAGTTCGAACGCTCCACATAATACCCTTGGAAAGGTGCTCGTCTAATGCTCATGGGAAGCCGAGAACAGACATGTCACTGTAGCTGTGAAGTTCCATATATCACAACAGCAATGTCACCTCAAGAACGCCGCATTCTTGCCAAGTGACGCCATGGCTGCTGAGGATGTTTGGTAGAGGCACATTGAGGGAGTTCTCAAGATCACCACCTTGCCAAACTTGTTCTGGCTCTTCCTACCAAGAGTAATCCAGCCGTACCTTGCACCTCTACACACATGCCCATGTTAAATGTTTGCAAAAGTGTGTGCATCTCCACGACTCATCCAGACATCCAGGCAAGGCTTATCCCAAAACTCCCAGGTGCAGAGAAAACCCCTGACAATTTTGCAGTAAGAGATCGGGTCCACATCAAGATTCAAGAATCAGATCGGAGCTCGAAAGGGTCAGCTTTAACTTCTGGAGCAGATTCCTGCCCTCCCCCCCTCGTTTTGCGCGCTCTGTGCATTGCCGCCAGAGCACGGCTTCATCGAGGTGGGTCGCTCGCCTGGATCGCAGCCAGGGGTCGGTGCTCAGCGTCCGGAGGATAGCAGCTAACCATTCTGTAATTAAAGAGATCTCTGGAATAAATATCGCGACTTTGGTGCAGAGGAAGGGCATCTCATCCGCAGTGCGGGCCGTGGAGGGGAAGGCGGAGGCAGGATGTCGGGGATCGCTGGGGGCCGTATCTCCGCTGGAGTGGGTGCCAACCTCATCGGCATGCACTCCACAGACCGAAATCAGGAGGCCACGGTGTACGTGGGAAACGTGGATCCCCAGGTCACGGAAGAGCTACTCTGGGAGCTCTTCGTCCAGGCAGGGCCAGTCGGTGAGCCGGGTTGCATCGAGGTGCAGGTGGTGGGGCAGCATCCCAAGGTCCCTCTTCCTATGACCAGCCTGAACTGGAGGAGCGGCGCCTGGGCAGGGCACTGCTGGCGGAAGAGCGCTGCTGCTCCTGCCACTCACCCACCGGAGCTCCAGGATGTCTTGCCGGTGGCATGCCTCACAGCCCTGCTGTTCTGTCTTTTTGACGGGTGCGCTGGACGCTCACACTATGTTTCCCCCCCACGCACCTCTTGCCCACAGTGAACGTCTACATGCCCAAGGACCGGGTGACCAACCTGCACCAGAGCTATGGCTTCGTCGAGTTCCGATCGGAGGAGGACGCTGACTACTCCATCAAGATCCTAAACATGACCAAGCTGTACGGGAAACCCATTCGCGTGAACAAGGCCAGCCAAGACAAGTTTGCGTACGATGTGGGTGCCAACCTGTTCATTGGGAACCTGGACCCAGACGTCGATGAGAAGGTGAGGCTCTGGGGTCCGGACTTTGTCCTCGTTTACATTTCGGAGGCCGGTTGCACCCCCATGCCATGCCTGGGGGTCAACAGTGACGTACTACTGTCACTCCTCTGCCTTGATGGCCACCACCCATCCTGTTGCACCCCTGCAGCTGCTGCACGACACCTTTGGCGCATTTGGAGTGGTAGTGGGAGCCCCCAAGGTCATGCGGGACCCTGACACAGGCCTGTCCAAAGGATTTGGCTTCGTCAGCTTTGATGACTTTGAGTCCTCAGGTGAGTTTTTGGAGGGTGGGTTTGGGTGGTGAGGGGGATACTGTTCCTGGCCATGAAGGCTGCAGGCCAGGACGCACTGGTGCGCTCAACAGAGGCCTGGCCGGCCAGAGCTCATCCTCCTGCACCACCCGTCCGTCTACGCCGTGAGCTGCCCATGCAAGAATTGCACGCTTCCTCCACTCCGCCACTTCACGACTCCCCAGATGCGGCGATCGAGGCCATGGACGGCCAGTTCCTCATGAATCGCACCATCAGCGTCGGATATGCTTTCAAGAAAGACACGCGCGGGGAGCGGCACGGCACCCCTGCAGAGCGGCTGCTGGCCGCGCAGAAGAAGCTGCAGAGCAAGGAGGTGCAGCGACCCCACACACGCTTTGCCACAGGTGCGCTGCGGGACAGGCTTTCGGTGGTTGGAGCTGCATTCCCCTGGGCGTCGTTTGGCAGTGGCCGGCGCCGGGCGGGGGTTGTGCACAGGCAGTGGCGGCACCAAGGCGACTTGCAGGAGTCGTAGGATGGATGGCCCCTGCCATGCACGAAACGCCCCGCACTGCCTCGCCGGTGCACCCTCCTCCACCTTTCCTTCGTTGTGCAGGCCCGAGGCAGGTGGGGCTGCAGACCGGGTTCCCGGCGCCCGGCGCCCAGGCGGCCATGGCGCCCACAGGGTTTGCGGCGGGGGCACCCATGCCGCGCCCACCCCCGGGGGCCATGGTGCCCGGGGTCCCCGGTATGATGCCCCCGCCGCCCCCTGCCCCCCCGGGGTATGGCAGCTACGCGGCCCCCCCACCCATGGGGTACCGGCACGGGGCTCCCCCGCCCCCGCCGGGGTACGGCGCCCTGCCGCCCCCCCCGCCCCCCGCCCCGGGCTATGGTGAGGCGACCGAGTGCCTTTTCTGTCCCGGGGTGGGAAGTGCGTGCCGACCGGAGTGGAGTGTTGCATGGACATGGGGTTGTGTATTGCTAACCCCCCTTGCATGGATGATAAGCTTTATGAGTGCAATGAATGGGCCACAAAGGTTCATCCATGGATGGACTGGGTGGAAAGGACGCATCCATGGCAATGCAAGGCGCGACGTGCTCCATGCCAGCTTGTCTCTCAGCCTGTCATCTCTCCCCCTCTCCCATCCCCCACGGCAGGCGCAAGGGTGGCACCGCCCGTGCCACCGCCGCCTCCAGGGTCGGCGCCCTTTGCAGGCGCGGGCCGACTGCCACCGCCGCCCCCCCCTCCGGCAAGTGCAGGGCCGGGGTCACTGCCCTCACCCCCGCCGCCGCCCCCCGGTGCTGGAGCACAGAGCACGCTGCCCCCGCCCCCTCCTCCTCCCCCTGGCGCCGCGGCACCGAGCACACTGCCTCCTCCCCCGCCCCCGCCGCCCGGCGCGGCGCCGCCCGCGACGCGGCCGGGGCAGCAGGGAAGCACCGAGCCCCTTGTGCCCCCGCCGCCACCGGCCGCCTGATTCTTTTTCCAAAGCTGAAGTTCTCGCGCTCTCTCTGCCCTTTGACCCCATCCTGCAACTTCATCGCTGGTACATGAAGTGTGGATGCTTGCAGCTCCGGAGGCGTCTTCCTGGAAATGGAACTGGGGTACAGGGTGTGGAAGGGTTGCATTGCCATAGGTGCCCACTCCATCTCCGCTGCCATGCTGATGCTTCTGCGGTGTCATTCGGCCTGGAAGTCTCCCAGGGGTGCCAGAAGCTCACTCAAGATTGCGATCAATCATATGGACGGGCGAATCTCTGTCCAGGGCCATCAAGCGAAAGGGCTGTTCATTGTTTGTGTGAGGACCCCAGATCTGACGTGGCAGCTCCGTTCTCCTACTGCGCCACTACGTGTCTCCTGCACTCCCCTCGAGGTACACGCGGTTGCATTAATATTGCCAAACCTCCTGGGAAGTTTTAGAGTGCGATTCGGTGCGAAGCGCATCTTTGTGCGTCCGCCTTTGCTCCAAGACCATGACCGACAGCAGCGGCTCGTCGAGCCTGCAGTGGCGCAAAGACTGGTGCGTCACCTCACGATGTTATAGGTGGATCTACATTCAAATCACAGTATGCATATTCATGAACCCTTTCGCAAGACACTGAGCTGTACCCTTGTACGCACGCAGGGCGGCATGGAGCGAGGCACACGGCGATACCCACCCACCCCCCCCTCACCCAACCTATGATGTCTACAAGGTGCTCGCTGGCTTTGGGGTAATTGTTTGAGTATATTGTAGAACACAGAACTGCCTCCAGACTGCTTGTGTAGGAAGAGGTGCCTGCTCTCCCTGTCCCCAGCACATCTGGAAGGGCAAAATCACAGCTCCACTCTCCATCACCCCCAGGTCATAGACGCAGCTCTGGAGGAGGATGCTGGTGACCTGGGGGATATCAGCGCCCTCTCCACGTACGCTGCGCGTGTTTGCAGACCGGGGGCTCAGGACCAGGGCCTGGCAGCTTTGGGTTGTCGTCGCCGCCATGAAGGAGGCCTCATGTCACTGCCTCCAGCCCGAGCATGTCCCCCTCCTTACAACTGGTAGCCTCCCTGCCCAGTGTCCATCCTCCTGCAGCACAGGTTGCTGGGCCACGCATCGTCAGCATCTCACCCGAATAGCGCCACTGACCACCGGCCCATCATTCTGCCCGCACTTCCATCACCCCCCCAACCCCACCTTGCAGGATCCCGGCCGACACCCAGGCCACTGCCGAGTTCACGGCCAAGACAGCGGGCGTGGTGGCGGGGCTGTGGGTGGCTGGCACCGTCTTCGCGCGCGTGGACCCCACCATTGCGCTGACCTGGCGGGTGACGGAGGGGCAGCGGGTGGAGCGCGGCGCGCGCCTGGGCAGCGCCCATGGCCCCGCCCGCGCACTGCTGGCGGCGGAGCGCGTGGCGCTGAACTTTATGCAGCGGGCGGGGGGGATCGCCACCGCCACGGCTGCCATGGCCGCCGAGGCCGCTGGCATGCGCGCCGTGCTGCTGGACACGCGCAAGACGGCGCCGGGGTTGCGCCTGCTGGACAAGTGGGCGGTGGCGGCGGGCGGCGGGGCCAACCACCGCATGGGCCTCTTCGACATGGTCATGATCAAGGACAACCACATTGCGGCGGCGGGGGGTATCACCGCCGCGGTGGTGCGGGCAGAGGTAGGGCGGCGTCGAGCACTGGAGGGAGGGAGGAAGGGAGGGAGGGAGGTACCACCTCGAGAGATACACCGTCCTGAATCCCTGTCCTCGGTGGCTGCTTGTCCGCATGCTGGAGTGCCCGCGACATGCCAGTCCAGGAATACTCAATGGCCCCGGATCCCAATCGCCGCACACAACGTGCATGGTCCTGCGTCGACCCATCCACCTCCCCATTCCCACCCTGTCTGCGCACACCCATCCCTTCCCACAGAGCTACTTGCGGGAGCGGGGCATCCAGTGTGGCCTGGAGGTGGAGGCCAGCACGCTGGAAGAGGTGCGCCAGGTCATCAGCATCCTGGACCACCAGCCCGACACATTGGTCACCCGCATCATGCTCGACAACATGACACGGCGGCAAGAGGGTGAGTGAGGGGATGGGCATGCCGCGGGGGGTCCCGTGCCGCTGGGTCGAGGGGAACTCCGGGAATGGCTGGTGCATGTTCGGCCACCCAGCGTGGCTCGGCGTGCTGCTACCGCGCCACCGCGTGAAGTCCGAGGACGGCGCGTGGCTTCCCAGGGAAATTTAGTCCGGCGGGGGGTAAGCACGCCGGGGGGGCTGCATGCTCAGCTCCTCCCATAAGGCCAAGGAACACTCCGGAGCCCGGACGCTGGCCCTAGGCCTCCTCCATAACCCTACACCTCGGCGACTGGGCACCGTGCTGTGAATGGATCGAGGGTTATTTAATTTCATCCCCACTGACGCACTTTGACACCCCGCAGATGGGTCCCTGGACGTCTCCCTGCTAAGGGAGGCGCTGGCGCTGATCGGGAATCGGAGGGTGGAGACGGAGGCGTCAGGCAATGTCACCCTCGACACGGTGCGCGTCATCGCCGAGACGGGCGTTCAGTTCATTTCTACGGGATCCACGACGCACTCTGTCACTGCATTGGACATCTCCCTCAACATCAAGACGGCCTGATGGGCCGGTGGCTCCCAGTCGGTCCATGCAGCGCCATGCCAGATTTCCCTCGGCTTGGCCGATAGCTCCTGTTCTGGTGCTGGCAAGCATTGGCTCGTCCTAGACGGGGCACACAGAGGGTGTTCGTGCCATTAAACCATACAGCGTACTGCATTATCACACCACATCGAGTCAGAGACTACCATTCAAAGTCAGTAAAAGACACTTCAGCGAGTCTTGATCCCCGATCCCTCGCTCCATCACCGCACACGTATCCCCCGCCATGCGCACCTTCGCCCTCCTGCTGGTCCTCAGCCTCGCACTGGGGAGCTCTCCTGCCGTCCACGCCGCCCGCCCCAAGTTCCTGCAGCCCGAGTTCTATGGGTCTATTGCTCGCCAGCTCATTACGCAGCTGGAGGTCGACTACGGCCTGACCCCGGAGCAGGCGGAGGTCGTGCAGGCCCTGTACGGCGATGTCACCGCCCCTGAGGCCGAGGAAGCCATTCAGGTGAGGGCATCGGGCGGCATGAGCCGGCGATCGGGGCCATCCGGCCGGGCATGGAGAGTGCGCGCATGCACCGGCGCATGGTGAGATGTGTCCCGTCCTTTCTATTTTCGCAGGGCGACTTCGCCTCCGGTGCCCTGGATCTGACCAAGAGCGAAGCTACCGAGGCCGCGCCCGCCCAGGAGTCGCTCAACGTCCTCAACTCCCTCCTCTTCGCCAAGGCTGGTGATGGCGACGTGCCAGCCGTGGAGGACCTCCTGGATGTCCAGGTGGGGTGCATGGTGTTGCGGGCAGCAGGGTGTTCTGCCTGGGAACTGTCATGGGGTGAGGTCTGGGAGGCCCCATGGATCACAGCTCCCTCCGGGGTGCCATCTTTGCCCCATGGGCATGTCCCGCCGCTCCGCATCAAACCTATTCCCCGTCCTCTCATGTCCCTCGCCAGGCCGACCCCAACGCGGCGGCCGACGGCCAGACCCCGCTCCTCGCCGCCCTCGTCCTGGGCAACACCGGGCTGGCCGGGGTGCTCATCTCCCGCGGCGCCGACACCAACCGCCCCGGCCCCGACGGCAAGACCCCCCTCCTGGTCGCCATCGCCAACTCCTCGGTCGCCTCGGCCGAGGAGCTCCTGGACAACGTGAGTCAGGCCGGGGCTGTGCCTGACGCTGCGGATCTCTCTGACCTGAAGCACACGCCCTGCGTTTGCACCGCGTCGGGACTCCTCGTCGCCGTGCGCTGTCCCCCTGGCTCATCCTCGACTCGTGCACAACCACAACACCCACACACAACATGACCCCTAAAATCTTCACTCCTTCCCACGCATGCGCAGGGCGCGGACGCCAACCTGGCCGACAGCGAGGGCGTGACCCCGCTCCTGGCGGCGCTGGAGGGCGGCGAAGCCGACATCGTGCGCTCCCTGATCGACCACGGCGCGGACGTGAACCTGGCGGGCCCCGAGGGCGTGTCCCCCTTCCAGTGGGTCCTGTCCCAGGACCCCATCGACGCCGCCTGGGTGTCGGAGTTCATCAGCGCCGGGGCTGACGTCAATGCCCCCACCGCCGAGGGCGCCCACCCCCTGGACCTGGCAGGTGACAACGCCGACGTGACCGCGACCCTCATCTTCGCCGGCGCCATCCCGCCCCCGGAGGTCGAGGCGCGCTAGAGCGGCCGGGACGACCGGGACCCCAAGTCCCGCCGGGGTCCGCCGCGCGTCGGCCCCTGAGCAGGCGAGGGCGGCGCGGGCCGTGCCTTCCCCCTCCCCCCCTCCCCACCACCATCCCACCCCCCTTCCCTGCCCATAAACATGCCAACCATCCACTGATTCATCCTTTGGAACCCTTGGGACTGGGGGCCGTGCGCGGCCCTCGCTTTCTCGGGGTAGCAGTCAATTTATCTTCATGACCCTGGCCATGCTGTGTCCCGGGCGGCTCGCCTTGCCTGCAAGCCGGACCCCGAGCACTGAGTTCTGTAGTCTCCAGGATCTTTTCAGTCGACAGGAGGGTGGCCAATCGGTGGACTTGGGACAGAGGAATGAGTTGACCGCAGGGTTCCTGGTCACGAAAAGGATGCATGGTGTTACACCATTCTAGCAGTCCATGCCTCGCAGTCAGGTGCAGGACATGCGGGAAATGGGTGGGCACGCTGCCTGTCCCCCACCCTGGGAGTGGCTGGGCCTGCCCCTTCCCTGAGTGGGTCAGAGGGTCCAAGTACGGTGGCAGCAGCCACACCACGGACCACACGGCGGGTGAGGTATGGCCAGCCCGTGCCCTCGCACACTTTGACAGAGGTGGTTGTCGTGGCCCAGCACCCCTGCTGCCGTGCGCCTTGCGCCGTACACAAGTTCATGGCCCCCTCCAGGCATGCCGCTCGCCCTCCTAGTCCAGCAGGGCGCCGACGACGCCGGCGCCGACGGTGCGGCCGCCCTCGCGGACCGCGAAGCGCAGGCCCTGCTCCATGGCGATGGGGTGCATCAGCTCAAAGGTGCAGGTGACATTGTCCCCTGGCATGACCATCTCGGTGCCCTCCGGCAGCGTAACAGTGCCCGTAATGTCGGCGGTGCGCAGGTAGAACTGGGGCTTGTAGTTGGAGAAGAAGGGCGTGTGCCGCCCGCCCTCCTCCTTGGTCAGCGCGTAGAGCTCGCCGGAGAAGCGGGTGTGGGGCTTGATGGAGCCGGGGCGGGCCAGGACCTGCCCGCGCTGCACGTCGTCGCGCTTGGTGCCGCGCAGGAGCAGGCCCACATTGTCACCCGCCTGCCCCTCGTTCAGCTGCTTCTTGAACATCTCCACCCCCGTCACCGTGGTCCGCACCGAGTCGCGGATGCCCACCACCTCCACCTCGTCCCCGACCTTCACCACGCCCTGCTCGATGCGCCCCGTCACCACCGTGCCGCGGCCCTGTGG